TTTCTTGCCTCAGCCCATTCCGTGGTGTGGCTGAGGTCTGTCTCTTATACACATCTAGATGTGTATAAGAGACAGTATATATATATCCTACTTATGTATGGTTTTTGCAAATTTTTACCATGTATAATACTTATGTATATTATGGTAATTCGCATATTTTTTACTATTGATATCACACTCATGTGAATGATGGTAATTCGCATACTTTTTAGCATGTATATTATACTCATTTGAATATTTTGGGAATTTACTTCTTACAGGTGCTGACACACACACGTCTGCTCTCTCATCTCGGCATTGGTGTTTTGATAGGCTTGCTGTACATGGGTATTGGCAACGATGGCCGCAAAGCATATAACAACTCTGGTTGTCTGTTTTTCTCCATCTTATTCCTCATGTTCACTGCTCTGATGCCAACTGTTCTTACATGTACGTAGATGTCCAGTTTATTTCAATTGTGGGCTCCAGGGACCATCACTGTCAGTTTTCTAATTAGGGTCATCAAATACGGCACTTGTGGGACCGTCATTGCTGGAACGCTAACCCTCTATCAATAATGTGTAAAGGCCTTTAATAAGGTTAAATTAGTTCATTGGTTTTCATTCATGGTTGTTTTTCTTTGCTTGCTGTAGTTCCAATGGAAATACAAGTTCTTTTACGAGAGCATTTGAATTATTGGTACAGCTTAAAGGCGTACTACTTTGCAAAGACGATGGCAGATCTGCCGTTCCAGGTAAGATAGCCGACTTACTTCACGCCAGTGTTACATGTAATAATGAGGTGGTCATGGCACACACCTACTGTATGTGATGCACTTTGCTACATAACTAAAGTCTTGCTACGTACAGAACACCAATGTGTTGGTCATGTAGCATAAAAACAGTGACTTGGTTTGCTACAATGTACCACCTTGTAGGTATTTACATAGTACACATTGTAGCATAAACAAATGAGTTGTGCTACATACACCATTATTTTGGTTATGCTACAAGGACCAAGCTGTTTATGGCACACAACATAGATGCTACAAATACCACTGTATTTGTCATGCTACATACTTTCAATGAATTTATTCTGTATTGTACACACCATTTAGTCAGCCATGCTACATACACATATATGTAGCTGTCATACTGTATACACTAATCTGAAATATTGCAGTGGTTGAAGAAATATAAATATACAGTTTGCTTGTAAACAAAGTATACAATATCAGATAATTGAATAAATTATTTTTTATTGATAGGTGATACTGCCTGTGATTTATTGCACCATTGTGTACTTCATGACGGGACAACCACACGATGCTGGCAGATTTTTCATGTTTGTCTCTATATCGATATTGACATCTTTTGTTGCCCAGTCACTTGGCTTACTTATCGGCGCAGCTGCAACAACAATGGAGGTAACGTTACATCGCAACATGTTGACCTGATTCTGTAAAGAAAGTTGATATAACAATGTAACTTGTATATGTCTTTAGTGTTGAGTAATGTGACATTTTATATGGCCATGTTAATCTACTTTGATTGATTGTTGAGTATTAAAGTTTTGATAATGCATGTGGTCTTGCTGCTGTTGCCATTGTATTTATGTCTCAATTGTTACCGATCTGAGTGAAATTTATAATTTTTTTATACATTCATAATTATTTGTGATTTTTTTATACATTAATCATAATTATTTGATTTTTTTATACATGAATCATAATTATTTGTGATTTTTTATACATTAATCATAATTATTTGGTTTTTTTTTATATATTAATCATAAATATTTGTGATTATTTTATGCAGTAATAATTATTTGTGATTTTTTTTTATACATTAATCATAATTATTTGTGATTTTTTATACATTAATCATAATTATTTGTTTTTTTATACATTAATCATAATTATTTGTGATTATTTTATACAGTAATCATAATTATTTGTGATTTTTTTATACATTAATCATAATTATTTTTGATTTTTTATACATTAATCATAATTATTTGTTTCTTTTAATACATTAATCATAATTATCTGTGATTATTTTATACAGTAATCATAATTATTTGTAATTTTTTTTATACATTAATCATAATTATTTGAGATTTTCTTATACATTAATCATAATTATTTGTGATTATTTTTTGCAGCTGGCTGTGTTTGTGGGTCCTGTGAGCAGTATTCCTGTTCTTCTCTTCTCTGGTTTCTTCGTCACCTTCAATACAATACCAAACTACCTTCAATGGATGTCTTATATATCCTACATACGCTACTCGTTTGAGGGCGTGCTCATATCTATATATGGTAATGATCGTGGCGACCTGCATTGTGAGCGGGAGGAGGATTGTATATTCCGAACCAGTGAGGACGTTCTGAAGGAGCTGGATGTTAGCAACAACAGAGTTTACATTGATTTCCTCATACTCCTTACGTTCTTTTTTGTATTACGTTTCTTAACGTACATCGCATTGCGAATCCGCTTGAAAGTTAGCCAATAGATGGCTAGGGTTTGGGATTATGTTGATCCAAGAGATTAGTGTATTCTTGCCAAGAAATTTTATTAGATTATTCACTTTAATTTCTATATTCTATGTGTCAGTATTTTAACATAGGGATCAGGGATGGATTTGTAAAAAAACAAAAGGGTTAGATTAAGTCTGTAACCCTGTCAGCTAAATACAGATTATTATTAATCTGTGTGGTATAATGTGTGCTGGAGATTAAAAAGATACAATTGGGATTAATGTAATGGCTGATCATTGGGATTATCCATGTTGATTATGTGACAAAGCCATTGAGTAGTGCAGCGGCATGATGTTACGCTTCCTATCAAAAGTATGGTACTGAGAATATTGCTTTTGTCGTTAGGCAGCACGATTTACCTGTCTCTTGTGTTGTCGTTAGGCAGCACGATTTACCTGTCTCTTGTGTATAACAGACACCTAGAGACATGCACTACTACTAGCATAAAGGGAACATCAAGTGAAAAAATTAACATCATCTAACATAATGTGATGTTTTTCCAAAGTTTACTGAATAAGTTTTATTGATGATGACATTATAGCTGTCTGGAATGGAGAGCATGGTATTGACATATCTACAGTACATTTAACGTTGTAGCATCAGCTAATCAAAGATTGATATCATTAAAATTGAACACGATGATAAATGTGGGCTTAAAATTAATTCTCACATCAGAATGCGAGACATCTAAATTGTCATTATTTGTTTGTCAGTGAAGCAGTTACATGCTCTGTGGTAAAAGTACTGTCTCTCAGTTTTGTTTACTGATGATGGAACCTTGTGGCATTCTCTTTCCCAAAGAGGTGAAATGATAGGGCTAAGCCGACGATACGGGTACATTTAATAATGTCACTGTGATAGTGCGCATGTTTAAGAAAGGACTCTTACTACATGTTTTGTATTTATGTGTAGAGAGCGATTTGCATTCGTTGTCACACATTATGAATTATTTGCCACACCAAGCAATTTCGAAACCACCCTCATATCTTAAACCCTGCCAACCATGTGTAATAATCATCTGGAGCATTATATCTTTTGCTGACATTTGTTTTTTTTTTAATACAGTAATTCAATTTGGTTATTTTGGGGAGAATAACAAGATTGGAAATGGTGTTCCCATTCTCTTTTAGATCTATTTTCATATTTGTCCTCATTATAAAAGTTTGTATAATTATATACTGTGTCCTTCCACACTTTTACATATTATGTAATCATATGTACAATACAGATTTTTGCATATGGGTATACACTGAATATAAACAAGTGTATTAGTGGTGTAACGCCTGTAAGCTCTTACGAGCTAATCCAGGTTCTCCGGATCTTAAGGTGAAACTATCAGTATTTTTAGCAAAATACACCATTAAACATCAAAAATGCTGGAGTGGATGTGGATGTATAGCCCACTGGGCCCTACACTGCCCTACTCCCCATGGTTTTAGGACCAGAAGAAGCGTTAGACTTACTCCACTATAAAGTGTATCTGTTTTGCGAAGTAGAATCAGCCTGGATCAATGTACAGAATTTATTTATTCAAAATAATTTTGCTTATCTTGTGTAATTACATCTCGGTATATGTACTATTTTATCTAGAGGCAGTAACATTTTACCAGCTATTGTGCATTCATACATAGAGATATACAAAAGTCATACTATAGTATATTTGAGTATATTTATTTTGTCCTTTATGGGTTGGGGAGGAAAAAACTAATTCTGAAAATGGTGAGCTGGACCACTATTTCAGAATCTGTATTAGCAAAGGAATTTATAATCTGTCTCATATATTAACTCGCATAACCTTGTGAACTTTGCTATAGGAATTACTCCTGTTTCAATATGGTAAATAACTTAGTTGATAATTCTATGACTCAAAATGTGTATAATACTATAGTTAGTTTTGCTTTGTTCCCATCCAGTGAAAATGCAATATGCATACGTTTGCTCAATGGCATCTTTTTTTTTTTTCAATTAATCTAGTGGTAGTTTGATTTTGACATTGAGTTTCTTCTATTCAAAGCAGTGATTTTGTCTCATTTGAGCTTACCATTAGATAAGTCTAATTATTTTGTGACAGTAGCTATTTAAAATTTAGAATGTGTATATGCAGGGACTTGTATGTGTGCTTGGTCTGTTGAATATTCATAAGCTCTTAATATCTTTAAATTTTAATTTATGGCAAATCAGATGCTTTAAATTTAAACTTCAATTTTATGTCTGATAATTTAAAATTCACATTCTTAATTCTTAAACATGAATATGAATTATACAAAAAAGTATATTATAGTATATAATATGCAATATGCGCTATATAAATAGCAAATTATTATTATATATATATATAATTTTAAATTATTATGATTCAAATGCTTTAAACTTAATTTATGTTTGAGCAAATCTCTTTGTATGAATTATAGCATGGTCATGGGATTTATTCCATAGCCATTCTGAATTCTTAAACATCAATATGATTTTTTAATATAGTATAAAAAAGTATATAACATACAAAATGGTTATATGTACTATATATATACCTATATATATATATATATACTTTATATATGTAATATATATACTATATATGTTGTATAATATATAATTGCTTTTCAACTCGATAATTCATCCTTATTGAATTGCTAATTGTGTCTCCATGGTTTAACATTCTTTTAATGCCTATCAATGCAATGTCAAATTGTACTTGTTTGAGTTATAGATCAAACATACATATTATATAGATTAAGTCAACAATATGATTTTAAATAGAAATATATGCTAACAATGTGCTGGCTATCTGATGGTAGTAAAAGGATTTTAATTGGCTATTGAAGACAGATATACAGATACAGTAGATGAACCATTCTCATTGGTGGATTTAAAATGTGCTCGATCGGCTACAAGATTATAGAAGTATCAGAAAAGGAGGAGTGATGTTTTTAATATTTTGTTTGCTTTATTTTAAAAAAATATTTTGTCTTATAATAGTTATTAGGACTAAATATTATTGAAATTCCTCAAATTTTTATTATTTTATTAGTTATTATTAGGCAATAATATTTTTAATCAGTTATTATTTTGAAGGACTACTTATTAGCTGGTTCACTGGCAGAAATAACATGCTGAAAAATTCAGTGAACGGATAAACAAAAATTCACAAAAAAAACCTCAACTACCCTCAATCCAATTATCAATGCAAATTGACATGTACCATATTTTAGTTTGATAGAGTTTTATTTCAAAATCTCTCCTGGTGGTAATTTAGTGTTTGATAATTAAATGTAAATAAGTTTTAGCATTAAGCAATGCAAAGAAAATTTTAACGATTACTAATCCACATTGGATGTAGCATTATAACATGTGTGCTGCTTATGGTAAGGACCAATTTTAATTCACAATTCACAATAATAATAGTACAACTAGAGGTATTTAATTTGAAGTATAATTTTTAGAATGTAAATGATTCATTCTCTTTCTTCTTATTTCATTTCATTTTTACTTCTTCTCAAATGTTTTGACAGTTTGTCATTTAAAATGGATGCTGTGCTACACCTGTAGTACTCTAGTCATATATGCATATATTAAATATGCATATTTTAATTACTGTGAAAATCTTAGATACTCCCAGCATATATGAGAGACATTCAACTTATACGTACAAACATTAGTGGTTCCTATTACATATATGTTCATTTTCTGTTGGTTTTCTACATTTTATGTAGAAATACTCACTCTTTATTAGCTGTATATGCTTATTAGTGTACATACCTTTTTTCAGAGCCTCTTTGTTGTAGCTTCAAAATAACTATACTTGCTGGATTCTGGGTTTATTCATATATCAAAGCTTACTCCAAATACAATTAATTTTGTGGCATGTTTTAGTATCAAATGTACTGGATCCTCAAGAAATATTTAAAAGTCTAAGCATTACCATAGAAAATGCTTGAACAATTTCATCTAGGCCTACCTATGGGTTAAAACAATAAAGATATCGATATACTCTGTGTGTGTACTGTCTCTTATACACACATCAATAGTGATTTTTCTGATAAATTTATTGTTTTAATGCATTACTAAGTGTTCAGATTGAGAATATTAAAAGTAATCAGGGGCGGATCCAGAGATGTCCGAAAGGGTGGATCCGAAAGTGAGGGCGATCGAGATCACACCACCCTAGGGGGTCTGGGGGCATGCCCTCACGAAATTGTTGTTTTCTAGACACCCAGAAATAACCTCTGAGGCATTTTGGGTGATCAATTTTTTCTTTTTTTTTTTCTTTTAACTTCCCAAAAGAGGGGGACTGGGGCCAGCGCACCCCCCTCCCCAAGTCTGGTAATGAATTTAGTTTGTGGATGTTTGGACTTGTACAGGATGTTCAATGTTGGATTATCGATGAATCATTGAACCTTAATGAGCTATGTACATTATACTCGCATAGTTTACTGATGGCTTCAAGTTATATAATAATTACTGTCATCTTTTAGTGTACTGTACTGTTAATATGTATGATAATAATCTGATGTATTTTGATGCAACAGCTCATATGTTCGCTTTGTATTTGGTACTTGTACTATAGAGAAATCAAGAGAGAAGACAGAATCCTGTATTTTGTTGTGATATCTAAATGTTTATCTAGTCCACTCTTCTCCATGTCATTAGCATGAATACATTGAGAATCCTTATATGCATTTAAACCTACCGACTATATTCAGCGAAGTATCAACTACATGCACACAATATACTGTAATGGCACATGTCCCTAGACAACAAACTGTGGGCTGACTTCATTTAATCTTGCCATTGTTCAATAATGGGTGTCTAGAAAAGTAAGATTTATCTTGCTTTTCTAGATCTAGAAAAGTAAGATATCTTGCATCTTACTTTTCTAGATTTAGAAAAATAAGATAAATCTTGTGTCTTACTTTTCTAGATCTTACTTTTCTATACACCCTTTAATAACACCATGATTTATAGGATCTTGTATAGATTTTCTAATTGAAAACATTATTGATGATGTCGTCTTACGCAGCACCCTGTTCTTGTAAAATAAATATACACTACTTAAATTACATCAATGTCGGAAATAATAATTTGCCTGACTGGTCTCGTTAGGTAAAACTTTTTCCAAAAGGGAATTTTTTGTAGCAGTATTAAATACACAGATGTATTCTAAACAGTGGCGTATCTGAGGGAGCTGATGAGGACTTGATAGTAAAGTGAGGTTGCACTAGGTCGCAAAATAAGGTGATATGAGATCATTTTTTTACTACTTGAGTGTGATTTGTTTGAGTTAACATTTTTTTTTGGGGGGGGGGTTGTGCACCCCCTAGATACGCCACTGGTTGTAAAGACTAGGTATCTAAATTGCTGATATATATTATGCAAAAAATATTGTATCTTCTGTCAAAAATGTCAAAGTTACTGATGACACAGAACACTTTCTGTAAAATGTTTTGGAGCAATTTCTAGTTCCAATTTTGGTATAGTCCGGACATTCATAAAGTATACAAAAACAACAAAGATACTATTGAAAAATTAAAGGGAATATTCTGTTATTACTTTATATTTTTATCGGGAACTTAATCTGTACATAGTCCTTAGTATTTGCTTCAAAATATAACTTAATTTTATAGTAGTAGTTTCCTCTTCATTCCTGTTGGGTTGGTGTATGCACTAAGTTATATTCAGGACTGTCACAGCACTTCTGTTGGCTCTTCTAAGCACTGGTTGAAATTTAATTGAAAATATCTGGCTTTTCTATGCACAGCATTTTTATATGTGAAAATATGTCTTCTATTGGCTGTTTTATGTGCTGGGTTAAATTTGAAAGATACCTCATTCCTATCGGCAGTTTTATGTGATGGGTTACTATGCATGTGACCATTTTTCCACTCCTATTGGTTGTATTCTGTGCTTAGTTACTGGTGTAACTGTAAATATAAACTGCATACTTTGTGAATGTGAAAATATTATCTATTAATGGTGAGCTAGTAACATGAATCTAGATTTGTCTTTGTTTTCAGGCAGCCTTGAAGAAAGTTTGCAAAACAATCATATTTTCCAGTTAAACATCATGGATTGATTGTTGGTTTTGTGTATTACTGTAATTACACTTTCTGTAAATTTTTAATGAATAGGGTACATGGAATATTTTGTAGAAAATGATTTTAATATGATGCCTTTTGTTTACTAATGCAACAAGATACAATTATATACAATTTATTATTGCCTTTTGGCAGTTGTTCCTGATATCTTCTGATAATTTTTTAATGAATGATGTTATGTGTTACATGAATTGTGGATTTTCTAAGTCAAATCATAATTGATTTTGTGAATTTCTATGGATATTTATATATATAAAGTAATATATACCAAATATATGAATAAGAAATTCATGCCAGGATAATGAATTTCACCATGAAAATACAAATCATTATCAGAGATCTATTTAAATATTTTGCAAAAATTGTAATACATCTATTTGTTTTTTTCAATTCACAAAAGTGTGTGAGAAGGTAGAAACGTTTTTATTGTCATTAGGTAGGACAAAATGTGAAAGGCTGAACAAAATTCATTCAAAATATAGCATGTACTCAAGGACTGGTTTTTGGTATGCTTTTTTCCCCTGAGTGAATAAAGTTTAAAATGGCTCAAAGTTGTTTGCAGTCTTGTGGTTTAATGGTTGTGCATTCGTATAACGCATATAATTACATTTGTCTCTATGCGCTATCCTGAACAACCGAAAAGAAAAAAAAACCATGAATAATGGTTGAGACGTAAAATGGTGAAAAGAAAAGCAAACAAGTGATAGAATAGAAAAACAACACAAAAAAGAAATCAAAACAGGAGAGTGGAGGAAAATTAGAGATTTTCAAATAAGAATGATTTAAGACAGCGTTTTAAGATCATTAAATTAGGAGACTTGAATGTGATTGTGGAAGTGAATTTCAGAGCTTGGGCCAACAACAGAAAAGGACCTTTCTCCATAAGTCTTCAGGTAGGCACATGAAGGGTTACAGATACTTTGGTTATAGATGTAGTGGAGCTTAATGTCCTTTTACATTTAGCAGAACGGAGTGTGATCAGTTCCGAGATGTAGTGAGGAATAGAATGGTGCAAGAACTTAAATATGTAAAGAAGCCCTTTGAACTTAATTTGCTGGCTGATTGGTTCATTTTAATGATGTCATTTATTAAGCTTCATCATTGCACAGAGAACAAAAGTACTGTAAAGAGAAAACAAGACAAAAACAGCGAAAAGGAAGGGGTGCACAACTCCATCTACATCCTCCCTTGAACAAAATAAACCACATCGAACAGAAAACAGATGTGGAAAGTTGCATGTAATATGATACAAAAAAACTACATAAAAAAGTATAAAAAAGAGATAAATACATTGAAAAGTAAATTTTTACAAGACAAATATTGAATTATTATTAATTTAATTAAAATAAAACATACAATAACATTAAAAATTGACATAAAAACAGAATATTATAAAAATTTTACAAGACAAATATTGAATTATTATTAATTTAATTAAAATAAAACTTACAATAACATTAAAAATTGACATAAAAACAGGATATTATACAAAAAAGTTACTAATTATTTGTTTATTTTAGGCGAAACTTGTTTCGCATACTTTTTTTTTTAAAGATCATCGGAGGAGGGCAGAATAAAAATTAAAATTAAATTTTGTTTTCTTATTTAGCAAATAGTTTTGCCAAAAACATCCAGACAGAGGAGAAAATAAAAATAAAATTTTATTGGTGAATGTAAAATTTATATAATTAGAAAGAAATATACATATCTTATCTTTGGAGATTTCAAGGCAGCGGAGGGCGTAATAAAAATAAAAACAATTTTTTTCGTTTTTTTTTTACAAATAGAAAAAAATGTGAGTGAATTGCCCTAGAAATTAGTCTGAAGTTGTTGTTTGATGTAAGATATTAAGGGGACAAAGACGGGGACTCTTTCTGAGTGTGCCAAATGGTCAAATAACCCCTATTGAGGGGACACTTAATTTTTTTATCATTCTATCACATCAGCTACAGCAGTCTCAATGTAAGAAAAAAATCATTAAACTTCATATTTTAACACCTATAGCAATAAACCAGAATTTTCTCCCCTGAATCCTCCGAGTAAACATCTGTACTGTACGCCTACTGAAACGTGTTACTTCATATAAACCAATCTTGTCAATTTTGACCTTTAACCATGATGGGATTTCGTTTCCTCTATTTTTGGTGTACTTTCATATAGGATTATACACACCATAACATGCACCATTAATTCTAGATCGTTACTGTATTCATGCTACATTCATCCAATAAAAAGCTCAATATTTTAAATAAAAAAAGGAATATTTGGTCATTAATATTGCATCATGAAATAATATTGAGAACATTTTATTATTTATATAATTTATACAGCACCTTTTCTTTGTAGATACAAAGCGCTTATTTTCCTCTGGTCATTGGGTCCTCATGTTTTAAGTGTTGCTGCTGTTAAACATCGCAGGAGTAGGCAACCCCACCAGGTACCGATTAATATTCCTGGGTGAAGAGAACCCATGCAGTGAATATTTGATGAAATTAGGAGGATGTACCATACAGGCCTGTATGGTCTACCTACGAGCCCGACAAGACAGGTGATTACAGGAGAAGCAATGTAGATAAAGTGCCTTGCTCAAAGACACAAGCGAAATGTACAGTACAGCGAGGGACTGAAACCCAGATTTTGAGGATGGGAAACCATAGTTCTGATTTCATATTACAGGATAAATGAAATGTTTTCATTGCAAATTGTTGCTATAAATTAGTTTTAATTATACTTAGCTGATTATGTCAATAAAAATAAAATTATACAGAATGTATGTCATCGTTGTATGAAAATATGCCAAAAACCCCTATTAAGGGGACAATTTCGCATTTTTGGTTAGTGTCAACTGAATAGGGATACCCTATTCATTGGACACCTCTATTAATTATAGGGGTTCTACTGTACAAAGTGTTGTAACAATTGCTCACTAATTCTTTAAGACACTTTTTACCACTATTTTATTTATTTACTCTTTCTTTTCCCATTAACTGTTTAGCTAGACACCGCCATCACTTGAGCACCTGTGAGTGCGGGCTTCGCGCCTTAAATTTCCGATAAACGGTGCGGTGTTGGTTTGGTTTGGTTCAGTTAGCCGTCTAGAGTAATGTTAGTCTAGGTTTATGGTTACTTTTCTTGTCCGTTTCCTTCCGTTGTTGTTAAGCGCCTCGAGGTTGGTCCAACAGGAGGCGCTATACAAATTGCAAAATTCTTCTTATTATTTATTATCTCCCTGAAGTAGTTTCCAACTCAAACTTTATTTGACAAAAACATGTGACATGCCTAAATATGGTGATGATGACATCACATCATGACCATTTACAGGCACATCATGACTATACAGTATATGGGCACATCATGACTATATATGGGCATGCAACATTTTTTGTCAAAGAAAATTTAATAATCTGGACAGAGCTTAAGCAGCAGCAGCAGCGCCAGAAGTTTGCTGACAAGTGGTACAACATGTCCGACAGAGGGGTCCACAATATTATGGATTGGCACTCAAAAAAACGTATAAATAGGCAAATTATTTTTTTAATTTCTGATCTGACGACCTAGTCGTGCGTCAGGCAAGAAGGGTGTCCAGGCTTGACCGACGGGGGGGGGGGGGGGGGGGAAAAACCCATTCCCCTACACTGCTGGCGCAACCTATGTACCACCATTAACCAAATAATGACAGGAAATCACATGTAATGATTAGTCTTGTTTATTACATTGATCAATTTTATACAAAAACAAAAAAGTTGGGGGGAGGGGAGGGAGGTGGTAAAACATCAGCAAGGATATACAGTACCATTATTCCTTGTATTGAGATCAATACCCTGTACTGTCCTTTAAATAATGGAACTCCATATCTAAAAATGAGTACAGAAGACAAGGAATTTCTTGTAGTTCAACAATCATGATTTCTGTATTCTTACTTTTCAACTTCCTGTCCATTAAAATGGCTCAATATATCTTAGTTACACAAAAAGCATCTAATTTTGTTGAACCTAAAACTTATTACGTGGTAGGTTTATTCCACTCTTTCATTACATACCAATTTCGTTGACAAAATTTACTAATAATGAACTTCCAGTGTGTTCATACTTTCTTATCAGCATCTTTGTTTTTAGCACCCTTTTGTATCCCCGATTTATTCTGTTCAGTTCCTTGACTTCCAGTTGCAGGGCCGGTTGCAGCTGCCGCAGCAGCAGCTGCTGCAGCAGCAGCCAGACGTGGTGACTTCCTCCCTCCAGTTGAAGAAGCTGGTGGAGTTTTGGCTATGGGTAATGAAGTTTTGGATGATGTGGTAGTCACACTTGATGTATCCAGTAATGAAGATGAGCTTCTAACAACAATAATTTCAGGAACTTTTGCGACTGTGGGAACAGCTGCCTGTGAATTTCCAGCACTGGTAGCTACTACTTGGCGAGGTGGCAATGAAGGTAAAGGTGATTTTGTCTGTGTTGCCTCTGGTGCAATTGCTACAGCTTGCTTCTCAGAAGACAGAATTACTGGCTGAACTTCTGAAGAAGTTATTTTTTGTTTTGTGAGGTCAATATTTATTGTTTTAATTGGAGATATATCTTTGGAGGCAGTTGATGTCAATGTAGAGGTTTGCAGAGATGATGGTAGTTGTGTCAGTGTGGATGAATATAGTGTTCCTGCTTGAGACCTTGTGATTGCAAGAGCCTTAGTGGACAGTGGAATAGTTGTCACAACATGACTTGATTTTTTACTAGGTTGGCCAAGAGCAAGTTTCAAGTCTGAAGGTGACTTTGATATAACTTGAGTCACTGGATACCTAACCTCAGTGATACTGGATCGTGACCCCAAAGCTGGAGTCTTGTTACGTGGGTCTGGTTGTGCACTGGATGTTTGCACACTTTTAGGAGGAGGCATCCTCGGAACTGAATGTGTAAATCCTCTCTGAAAAGTGAGTGTTTGTGATGGAACAGTTGTAACACTGGAAGATGTTGTCTTTATCAGGGATATGGCCTTAGCCACAGAAACTCCAGTTTGATGTGTAGTGTGCGGTACAGTCTGAACATTACCACAACTGAATTCAGTACTAGGAACACTAGATGTTTGTCTCAGTTTAGCCAATGAAGCTGCTGATTCAGATGTGGTCATAATTCCTAATCCACTTTGGGTAAAAGTTACGCCAGATGGAGTTTGTACTGACTGTATCTGGCTGACTGTCGACCTCATTATAGATGCAGTTGGTCTGGTTTGGGCTAATGACATTCCAGACACAACATGACCCATTGACAGTTTTTGAAGAGTCTGAGACATGGATGGTCTAATAATAGAAACTGGTTGTATCACAGTAGAAATTGGAGTAGCTGCCGAAGCACTGGATATTGCTACATTGGAGATTGGACCCAGTTTATTTCCAGTCTGTACTGCCTGAGAGAATGTACTAAATGAAGGAATTGTGCCCTTTGTTTCCAAATGTGTGCCTGTCGACGACACAAGTGATGAAGCATATTTTGCAGACTGCTGATGAAAGCTTGTGAAAGGAACAGCCATCACCACATGCGGTTTAGGAGAACCAGACAGTGCATCACTATTGGATACAGCACTATCAGATCTAGGAATAGTTGAGACAACAATCGGTGAGTTTTTACCACTGCTGCCAGCCGTCATGTTACTTATTAATTTAGAATTAGCTGGGAGAAGTTTTGCTCCAGGAATCTGAAAAATCATTCCTTTTGCTTGACCAAGACTGGTAGGCATGCTACCGTGGAGAACAGGTAGCGACCCTTTAGCAAGATTTTCAAGAGTTCCAGCTTGGGCGCTTTGTAAAAAGAGTGAAACTGGCACGCTAGCAGGCTTCTTTCCATCCAGTGAAGTCAAAACGTTTACACTACCATGAACATGATCCCCTGGTGCTTGTTTAAACAATGTAGAAACTGGGGGAATTCTGGTCTGCTTTGCTGGTGAAGGACTCTCTGTTAGTGGGGAGGAAGCCCTTACTTTTGGTATTACACCCTGAGCTGCTTGTAAATTTACCTGTGCTCTCTGATTAGCTTGCTGAATAATTGCACTAACTGTAGCCTGCTTGCGATTTGTTGTAGTACCTTTACAGCCAAGAGCAGCAGCAATAGCACTAATTGTTGCAGACTGGCTACCAATTACTGGTGTTTGCTTGGATTTGGATTCTGATGGTGGTGTTGTGACTCTCATTATAGGTGATGCCTTTCCACTAGTAAGTTGAATTGCTGCTGGAGCACCACCTTTACTTCCAAGAACATACATTTTTTGTCCACCAGATGTAGCAAATACATTTGTCACACCAGCAGGGAGTGAAGCGGTGGCCTTCTGTTGGTGTTGCACAAGTGAAGTTACAGCAGAAGTATTTTGAGCAGATTTCCCTTCTTGAGCTGTACTAGAAATATTGTGAATCATAGTACCACCAGCTAAGAGACTAACACCAGCCTGATGAGTCAAATTTGGGGATGATGTTTTACTAACGTTCTGTAATTTTCCTTCTGCAGATGCACTGCCTTGGAGTCCTGCAAGTGCAAGAGCAATATTCAACTGGTGTGGCAACACCTGTGGTAAACTCTCCTTCTTTTGGTTCAGGGCTTGTGGAAATACAGTGTTGAGGTGTGGTGTTTGGTTTTTAACTTGATTGTCTTTAGTCTGGGTTGGGATTGTTGATATTATACTTGATGGCTGTTCCATTCTAAGATTTTGATAATGAAGAGCTTGTGTCTGTAGAACCTCCAGTGCAGTCAAATTTCCTTGGGCTGTTGAAGCCATTCGAACCATAGCTCTATGTTGTGCACTGCCAAGAGGAGATAACATACTGGAAAGGGGTAAAGAAGAGGTTTTAGCTGCAACTGTGGTCACTGGATTATCAGCAAGCTGTGTCTGCTGTGACAGGATATGAGCTTGAATGGAAGGTAGAGATGCTTGTTGTGAGGCACTCAACTGAAGTTGTTTTGCTTTTCCTGCATTTAATGCAAGCTGTTGGGCTACTGTTTGCGCTCCAGAGGAACTTTGGCTAGACTTCTGTGAGCTTCCACTGCTGGACATACTGAGACGAGAACTACCAACAGAAATTTGACTGGGCATAGTAACTGGCAAGATGGATCCTGGACTCTGCATAAGAGAGTTCTTTGATGGTAATTGATGTCCAAGCATGGATGCTACTGGAGAGGCACCATGAGATATATCCAATGCAATACCGCTGCTTGCTAAACTATCATTGCTACTGTCACTCATAACACTAGGAGGCCGGTTTTGTGGTGCTTTCATCAGAGCTTCCTTGATGACTGACTTCTAAAAATGAAATTAAATACATATTCATTTTTAAAAAAACATAACATCATAATACATGAAAACATTTTATCACATATAGGCTATGTTCTCACATAGTTGCTAACAGTTAGCAGGATCTGGATCCTGCTAGCTGCCGTGCGTCCATACGAAAAAAATCCCAATCCGGATACCAAGAATATGATGATCGAATCACTGGCCAATAAGAAACTGGAAATTGTAAACGTGTATGTGTGATTGATTGATCATAGAAACGCCCTCAACTTGCTATCCGATGGCACTTGCTAACCGTTAGCGGTATCCGGATACTGCTAATGGTTAGCGCAGACCAATCGGGCGTTCTTACGCAAGTGCTAACGGTTAGCTCCCGATCCGGATACTAAGGCTCTCATGAGAACCAGGCTATAGTCTTGGCACTACTTACCACTTTAGTTTGCTTCAGTAATGCTTTCTTAGCTTTCGCTGCTGCTCCATGCTCTTGGTGAATACGTTCTGTTAAGTAGTTATAAAAACACATTTGAATGAGTCCTAAGCTTTAGGACCTTTTTTAAGTACCTTAAATTTGATTTTACCTTGTTTAGTCAAGGACTTATAACTGTTACCAGGATAGGAAGCTGGCTGGTTTAAGCCATCTAACTTGTATTAGCCTTATGTGTGTTATTGTTATGCTAATGAGCCTGATAAGCACAATCAATCTACTGTAAGTCAGTGGTGCATAACCAACAAAAATAAGATAAGCTTTGAGGCTAAATTCTTGACCTCATGTTATTTAAAAATTCATAACTCCATAACGGAGGGTCATATCACATTAATTTTTCCTGGAAAATGTTCTTAAAAGACTATTTTACACCACTGTAAAAAAATTTGTTTTGACATCTGACATAAAAATGGAAAAAGAAAAGCCTATCTAAATAGTGAATTAGAATAGGCCTAATGCTGTACTGAATCGGCCTATTCTAATACACTATTTAGATAGGCTTTTCTTTTTCCATCTTGATGTCAGTGGTCGAAAGTTGTTTTTTTTCAATCATACAGTGGCGTATATTTCTACAAGTTACTGTTATTTAACAGTAACTTGTTATTCTCAAACTTAAATAATATTTTTCATTTCATTTTCATTTATTCATTTATTTCCACACATCATCAAAGAAAACATATACTGTACATTGTTCATTGAATCAAGTATTGAAAAATATATAGGTTCACCTACCAAATTCACCCTCAGAGCGCCCTCTATGCAGATAGATCCACAGTCTCCGATTAACATCATACTTCACACTCGGATCCTTCTCGTAGTGTAATCTATCGAGGGCACCGCTGACAACCGTGTTTATCTGGACATCTGGAGCTTCCGCCAGGAACTGAGAGTCTTTAAGGAGTTCACATACCTCAGCCCTCGTTCCTTCTCCATTTGGTAACCTGGCAACTGAGTCACGAACTGATGAGAAAGAATAGTCAGTAACTGAAGTTCTTGGGATAGTGCTTCTTCTATAGGCTACTTTTAATTAGAACACAACCAGTTATGCACACACAAATAGAAAACTTCACCATTTCATACTTCACTTTAGAATCTTAAATAGCTATGAAAAGACCAATCCAATTTAGCTTCTATTAGTAACTCATTATGAAATCTGACAAAGTACTGCTGTACTGTTCTGTAATGAAAAATAAGCAGTTGATTACATCTGTCATTACACCTTTTTGTACCATAGATACTGCATTTAGAAATACTTCTCTTGACATCCTAGCCACAATATAAGTGACCGGTGTTGTGTAATTATATACTCATGATGAATAAAAAGTGTAGCCACGTTATTCTGCAATAGAATAATAGGCAGTTTTCGCCGCGCGATGTTAACCTTAACGTTAATGGATGACGTCCTAATTTATTCATCTTGCATTGCGGAGTACGTTAATTTTCAGGAATTTACGTGCCCGACATACGTTAGTTACGGGTTTGTGCATGCGTATTTCAATTTGTTTACAAAAGGGGAGGAGCTATTGCGCTGCATGTTGGGTACTAACGTTAAGGTTAAGGTTAACGTGGTTAACGCGACGAAAACTACCTAATATAAGAAATGACAACAGCACTTTTAAGACTATATAACATTTAATCTCTAGCTTTATTTGCATTATGTATTATAATTGTAGTGCAAATTATCCTACAGACTTACCAAGACTCAGAATAGTAACATAAGGTGGTCGTTTTGAGACGAGCAATGAGTGTTCCCTTGCTCGGTTTAGTGACATTTCTTTTCCAAATACTCCCTTCACCGGGCCTACGACCTGTCTCTTATACACATCTAGATGTGTATAAGAGACAGGATCTGGATCCTGCTAGCTGCCGTGCGTCCATACGAAAAAAATCCCAATCCGGATACCAAGAATATGATGATCGAATCACTGGCCAATAAGAAACTGGAAATTGTAAACGTGTATGTGTGATTGATTGATCATAGAAACGCCCTCAACTTGCTATCCGTTCCTACAAATAATTTAGAAAAATACTGATAAATAATAATTCTAGTGACTTCTATAGCACTGGTGTCCACCAGTCAGTGCTCATGTTAGAAAATGAGAAGAAAATTCAATATGGTGAAAATTAATTGTACATATACGTATGAGCATATCAAGCCTGTCATCTACTAGGCAAATTTATTCGTGCAAATCAAAACTTTTGGTTCGCTTCATGAGCTCACATTGATTGCGCAATTTTTCACTTCGCAAAAAGTAGGAAGAATTTTAACTGCTGAAGCGAAAAACTCTGATAGAATTGTGAATGCAAATGAACCGTGCTTTCAATTCGCGCGAATAACTTCACTTACTGGAAAAGAGGCTTAAGTGATACATATGAAACTAATCATTTAATCAATCAATTCACCTATCAAATTAAAAATATATAAATAAATGGCATAATTCACTAACATTCTTGGACTTGGTATTTGAACTGAGTCTTTCTTGTCCATTGATTGTGCATCTGGTGGGCTTGCTATATTATCATCAGTAGAAATATTCAACCACTGTTTAAAGAGAGCTGCCAAATCATCATCACCATCACCAATCCCAGTACCTAAAAAAATAATAATTAAAAAAGAAAATGTCAGATTATGCAATGTTGTGTAAACATAGCATCACTGTACGCTGAGGAATTTCAAATCTGCAAACCTCCTCCCTCATAACAATGATGTTCTCTGTATACCTATCCATGTCCAATGTAGAGGCTCTCCCGGAACAAACTGGGCACGAGACACAAGTGGTAGGCTTCCTTTACGATCCCTGTTCAAGTACACTAAAGCTTCGTTTAATGCTTTACTCCACGACTGCTTCAAGGGGTACCAATGATTCAACATACTTGTTGGCGACTTTTCCCACACGTCAACACGTTCTTCCAGACGACTTTGAGGCATCCGCTTCTCTGGGTTTGATGTCAACCAATCACGAAGAAGACTGAAGAAATTTGCATACAATCCATATGGTTGGCTGTTTAGAAATTAAACAGAATATTGAAATTTTAAAAAGACCCAAATGGAATAGGTTTTCAGACTTGTGTGTGTTATAATTGGTATGCATTTCTATTAATTGTATGGCCTAAATATATTAAAACTGTCACATTACTGAAACAATAAAAATATTAACTTACAACTTAGCTGTGAGCTGAGCAGGTGTCTTTGGAGCGTCTTCACTTGTTGCTTGTTTTTGAAGTGGTGTAACTTTATCTAGACTTGAAATTTCTCCAAGTCTATTAAACGACATCATATCAAGAGGATTAACAAACTTGCGTCTCTTCCTCTTTAACTTTTCTTTTTCTCGTTCTTTTTTCCTCTTTTTGTGGTGCAAAGCAGGTAATGTGGGTTGAACTAGTACGAATAAAAACAATATAGACAAATATGGCATTTATACACAGCACTGCACATTATAGTGTAGTTTAGTATGCTGGTATAATCTCTCAGTAAACATAATCAGTAGTGGTAGTCAACTGATACAATATCAATCAGTATTTATCAATGACGAAAAAGTGTTTTCAAGAGCCAATGGCTAATGGGACAGTTACTGTAGCGGTATAATCTAATAAGCAATTAATATACTTGTGCATTGTATACTAGCAGGAAATTATAATACAAAGGTTAGGTTTAATGCATGAAAACATTTTTTAATGCATAAAGTCTAACCTAAGTATAATAATTTTCTCCTAGTGTACGATGTATTAACTTTTACGGAAGAAATTACATCACTTGTCAACAAAATTGGCGATTGGGAAAATGTCTGTTCTCTCTCTCTTTCTGCAGATGCGCGTCATAGTGCTAAGTGTGAAAACAATAGCATACAATTTATTATGGTGCACGATACATACTGTACAAGTTGTTTTCACCTTTTGCACACAAACCCTAAAAAGATCAAGCAAACTGTCTGTGCACTAATGAAAAATTAGTGCATGGTTGGGGATAGGAAAGCAACATTTGGAGTGGCAGTAGTGTTGTGACAATTGACTTATAATGATTATTATGAGGATGGTCACAATGCGCATGATAATGATAATAAGCAACCGAAGAGAGCTAAGCATGGGCAAGAGTGAAGACCCAAGAAGGGGAGTATAGAATTCTTACCTGGTGTACCTATGGGTGATTTTTTCTGCATATATGTTCTTGCGATCACATCTTGCAGTTTAACTGCTTTTGTATCTAACTCTGCGTGTTCTTCCAAGCGTGCACGCCTTTTACGATGATGCTCAATGACAAGTGACAGGTCATACTCTGTGACCTTGGCAGGAGAATGAATTCGAAGATCATTTACATTCATCTGTGCTCCAACTTAAATAAATTAGAACAAAATTATTATAACACCAAACTACCAGTCATAGTAAAATATTAAAAATACAACACAGACTACAAAATTTCAATTGCTTATTATTATTATTTGTGCTACTTTCACAGATTGTAATAAAAATATAAAAAATATGAATTCAACTTTAATTAATAATGCATAAAAATGTAAATGATATAACTTGATAGCTGTCACATTTTTTACAATTACCTTTCTTGGTTGGTTCATTGGGAACAGGTTTGACAGCATAGGTGGACTGAACTCGTGGGGTTAGCGGAGTAGGGGGGAACTCTGGGAAAGGGTTGAATGAGCAATATAAATCTTCTGTGCTAACTTTTGGCTGCTGCAACACCTGCTGATAACCATCATCCCTGTCTTCATCCGAGGACGAACTGGACACCTTGGTTGGATAGAAGGATGATAAATATTCATGAGTACAAACCACTCCAATAAATATACTAAACTGTAAAATGTATTCATTATTTATTTTAGTTATGATGCATTTGAATTGCAGCCATACTATTATATCATTGTTGTTGCTATACATAATTAAATTTTTGAAATGGGAAACAATCTATGGTGCAAATTCACAAGCGACCAATGCTTTTCAACTGAGCATGTGTGAATATATATTACAAGCACTTACCCCAGCCTCTTCATGACACTCCCTTAATATCCTGTTGAAAAAATTAAGATCAATATTAAACATCTACAGTATATGGATTAACATTAAACAACATGATAGCAATTGCTAAAAAAATTATGAACTTCTATTGCAGAGAAGAAAGTGTAATAAACACAATTATATAAATAATAAGGATAATTAATGAGAATACAGGTCTCCCTGCAATCAAACACCACTTCCGAGACCGGTGTTTCCATGCTATAATTACAATTACATAGATAGAAAACATTTTTTCAATTTGGGACCACAGAAAATTTGTAATTAATTAGAGGTGGTCTTTAATTGGAGGGAGACTGAATGAAAATGTATATGGGTGATAAGGATAGATTTTTGATTGACAACTTACTGTTTGTAACGCTTGTTGGTCTTTTTCTCCAGTTTCAAATGCATTTTTGACGGCTGAGGGCGCTTCACTACAATAGGTTGTTCTGGTGCAACAGTCATGGCTGCAGCAAGTAATTTCTTAAATAAAAATTGTAATCTGTATTCAGGGAACTACCAATTCATGAGTGGCAAACAGTCATTTTTTAATTAATTCATTTCTAATTTATGAGTGGGAGCCAATTCTGTTTTAATCTACTGTTCTCTAACAGGACCCAGTAATAATAAATAATAATAAAGTTCTTAACCGTTCTGAAGTCAACAGAACAAGTCGTTGTTATTGACTATCTAAATAGTTGACAAACTTTAACTGGACAAAACAAAAAAGAGAATTCTATATTAAATTAAGACAATGCTTTAAGACCAAGCCATATATTGAGGGTTAAGTCAGGCAGTGACTGCATTGACCTACATTCGACAAAACAGGACATATCCATGGCAGCCAAATAGCTTGGAGCAGAGGACACTCACAGGCAACAAGTAAAACACATCTTAGATATGGTAATAAAGTTATTGAGTACTGAGTAACATTAAATGAAATAATACCTAGTTGCTGATCAAATGTTTTTTACAATTACAATTCTTTGATGTTTCAATAAGGAACAATATTATTTAATAATATTAATTAATTTTCATATATTAGTAATCATGTTAATCATCAGCTATTACAATATACTTTTCCAAATAAAATTTGAACTTATCAATATTATATTATAAGTTTCTTTTAGAAAATGGACCATTTGTAAGAACATGGTATGCATGAACAATGCCATTTATGCTAAATGTGTTAAAATAAATAATAAATATATTATCATTCAATAAAAATCTAATTTTTAGAACCTGTCTTGACACCAATACGTCCTGTAGAAGTCTGTGGTGGTGTTTTTGTTGCTGGAACTTGTACTCCCGATACTTAGCCCTCTGGCTAGCTTTCACATACTTTGCAATATCTGGGTTTAGGAATCCATTGACTAATTTCTTGCCAAACTGAGTCAACGGATTGCCAAATCTCATATCCTCACCATTGAACAGTTTTCTGCAGAAGAATACACAGCATTTCATTAAATATGTCTGTAAAAAAACCTACAACTTATTTTTGTCTCTTAAAAACAGATCTATGGAATTCAATAATAATAATAATAATTTATTAATTTACATTGCACAAATTCAATTAAAGAATATGTTCAAATGTACATTAAAATAAATAGACAAGATTACACGATTACAATATAAATGAGTAGTTAAAATTATGGACTGCTACAAATAATAATAATAGTTTTTAAAACAAACAATACTTACTCAATTGTTATAGATTTTTCATGTTCATCATTTTCCGGAAAGACTGGAAGAAGTTTTGTGAGATTTTGTCTGTCCTCATCACTCAAACAGTTTTTCCATGTTTCCAGGCTCATTACTTGCCTAAATATTGTGATCTAGGGAAGTATGAACATATTAATTCAAGAGTACACTATATACTAATGTTGAGGATCCCACTGACATCTGCCAGAATTTTTCAGGCCCCAGTCAGACAGCGTTACCCTTAAATATATATTCTAGAAAAAACACTTGCTGTAATTTCTTATCCTAGCTGGGAGGAACGAGTACTTAATTGACCATGGAAATACAGTACATAGACTTCTTTATACCACTATGTTAGCAGCCAATAATGTAGGAGCAAAGTGGATGACTATTGTTGTAGAATGAGTTCAGAGTTCACATAAAAACAACCTATAATTTTTCCCCACCATCATTCCAATGCACTCTTATCCCCTAACTGACATTGCCAGCATGATGGACCTTTCCATTAAGCCCCACCCTTACATATTGTTGCTAAGATCTCAGAAAATGAGTGTTAAAATATACGCAAATACGTGCGTTTTTGGCTGTGTGCTTGTTATTCCTTGCTCTGTTCTGATTCGCCAGTTAATAAGTTTGATTGACACTCCAGAAAGGTTCATACTTCCTAAATGAATTGTAATTTATAGTCTAGTTTTCTATTTCTTAACTATTTGATTTGCTTACATCTTGTGCTAAGTCTACTGGTACCAACAACTTGTCTTTCCCAAGCAGACAAGCCTCAAATTTAGGTTCTGTTCCTTCCTCTTCTTCCTCCTTTTTTGTATCCTTTTTGCTATCATCAGTTTTGATCTGTTTTTTTCTAGTCTTTGCTAATGACTTGATTTTCTTAGATTCTGGTTGATTCTGATCCTGGACATCGCATTGGTTATTTTCTTCATCATTTACATCTGTGTCTCGCTTTCTCTTTTGTTGTTTATCAAGATGAATAACATTTGACTTTTCTGAGGGAGACTGTTTCTCTTCTGAATCCTTTTCTATCGATAGGTTGGTTGGAGAATGTCCTTTTATTTGTTTAGTTTCTTGTTCTACCTCGTGTTTTATTACAATGTTTTCTCCTACTTCTTCTCTCTTTCTTTCAATCAATGTTTTATCTTCCTTCATTTCTGTTTCAGCTCCTTGATCTGTGCCCATACTTGACCTCTCCATTCTTCAATCTGTCCTTTAACCTTTATAGAGTCTAAACACAAAGGTGTAAAAAAAGGAAGTTAGGGTATAGGCGCGCCATAGCCTAATTCCAATGGTAAATATGAATCATCAAACAAGTTTTGGATGGGTCATAGCTATAAAGCTTACTGACCAACCCAAAAACATCAAGCAAGTATCAAGCAATTAAGTACAATTCTCCTTCTAATTAAAGACCCCTCCAATTAAAGACAACTTTTCTGTGGTCCCATATCAACAAATGTCTTTTTTATCGCTTTTATTCTAAATAAAGAGACCAGACAGAACTGCTAAAGGCCATGGAAACTCTGGTCGCAAATATGTTCTTTAATTGGAGGAAGACCTGTACTACTACTCTTTAGGCAAGGCCCATGGATGCTAGCGTAGGTATTATTATGAGCACAGCGCCCACCTTCCTCCCTGGACTTGGCCTTACGTACTTACTTAGCTGTGCCTCTCTCTAGGCCTAACCTTGACTAGGCCTAACGCCTAGGCCTAGGCTAGGTAGGTAGGGCCTAGCCGCCTAGCCTAGCTAGGCCCCTACTACTACTACTAGGCCTAGGCCCTAGCCAGAAAATCCATAAAATTAAATTAGGTTTCAAGACTTTATCAACTTGTAATCCATTAAACAAGAACACACTTTTACATACCTTCCTACATGAATTGTCACTACATCATGGTAGCCTAATAGAATTGAGAAAAATAAGGAATATATCAGGTGTTGAAACCAACGCTAAATCAAAGGGAAATTGTTTTGTTTTCATAAATGAAAATGACGCCCTCCTCAGTCTTTGTGGGAGTGGAGGGAAAGTCTGAGATCCGGAAATGGTTATATGCACGGCCGCCTTGTTCGCACATAATGACCTCTCAGTGGTTCCCTTGAAGCCTGAAAAAAGAACCAACTCTGTGAACTGGCTTGATATAATCATATAATACAGGGGACATGGGCATAAAAATCGGTCAGAGGGCCAAAGTGGCTTTTTGATTTAACAGCGAGGGCCGCGGCACCCAAACATTGTTTCCAGTAGGCCTACGTGCTTCCAAAAACCTTCAAGAACTGCTTTTACACCAATTTATTCTCAGTTTTATTTTACTTTTTACATGATCGGTGTCGGGCCATAAAAAACGTGTTTTCTGGCCCTAAATTGTCATTTGGTGGGGGGGGGGGTCGCCCTTGATCACTTTTAAGACATTTTGAGCGACGACCGATCACGCCCATTTCTGGTCACCCACCCAGCGTATTCCCCCTAAAATTTAACTTGTAATGTACCAGTTTCCTTTCTTCACTCTCAGAGACGATGGTATTCAATAGCTAGGACCCTGATTCGTAATTAATTTATTTGAAGAGCCAAATTATTTTAATTTTGTTTGGTGTCACGGGCCAAAAAAAAATCTCTGAGTTGTCAAGCAAGTTGCTAGTGATCACTCATTACTATAGGAACTTACAAAGCTCACTGTTTATTTTTATTTATTTCTCATTAAGTTTAGTACCGCCCATGCATTGTTGATAGGCCAATTGAGTTTCACTAATTTTTTACTAACTTGTAGTTAAGTAGGCCTATTTCTAATGTAGGCCTATATCATTTATGCTGATGAAGCCCACGATTTTTTTCTTTTATTTTTATATTTTCTTTCGGCGGCGATGATATTTTGATGCGAGAAACTCTTTTAGTTTACGGAAGTATGGCCAGTGTGTGTTGTCATTCTTCCCAACTGGTCACTGAAATGGTGGCGCAGAAGTCGTGTGATTCCAGAGTTTGTGTGTTTGGTACTAATTTGGCGATTTAATTCGACCAATTAACAGTTCCTCCCTGCTCAGGAGGATATTTGAAATATTTTTGACCTCAACGTGGGATGCAGACCTAGGCCTATATCAAGTTCTGCAGTGGTTCTTAACTGGCGGTTTTTTGAACGAATAGGCCTATACTGCCCTGTAATGCCCATATGTTTGATTAAATTGATTCAATCTACTAAATTTGCCACTGTCATAATAGTTGAGAACCCCCTTTTTCTCAAATTCATCCATATCCAATCAAAACCATCCTTCATTTTCTTCTCTATATGACTCAAACTTTAGACAAACAACTACAGCATCCCCCCCCCCCCGGAGGCGTTTATTGTTGAGAATGGTTTTTGAGTGAGGGGGGTTTTTCGAGGGCGTTTATTCGAGGGAGGCGTTCTTGTTTGCTGTGAAATGGATATGCTCAAGTAAACGCCCGTTTACATCACTGGATTTGGAACTACTACACATACTGTAATTACCGTCAAAATATGTTATTGCCTGCATCCACGTGAGCGTCAGACTGCCATATGCTTGCAATGCTTAAGCATATTGGGAGGAGTTTTGGATGATTTTCATAAGTGACCATAGACTTTATTTACGGATTTCTCCAGGTTAAGAAAAGTGGAACTCTGAGAAGAATATTAACAGAATTATGGCATGCATCTTACCAATTTTATTGTAACAGTTTCTGGAAAATTTTTAAATACGAAATTTTAACACTTTTGCACTTTTTATCCTTTCTTGTTTTTAAAATCACTGTATATTTAATTGAATTATCTTTGAAGCTTTTTTATTTCGGTATTCATGTGTCATATTTTTAGTCGTGGTTTACGGTATAGTTTTATTGTGAACGCACCGCATGGTGTGTGCTATTAAATCAAAAGTATACCATAGTTTTTAAATAAAGTTAGTATGTTATTTCCAGTATTTATGTGGGAGTTTATTCGAGAAAAAAAATTAACGCTTATTCTGAGGAGGTGTTTATTCAAATGAGGCTCTAGGTGGGGAGGGGTGGTGTGGTTGTATAGAGGCAACTCTGAATTTCATGTTTCTACTAGACATTCATTCTAATTAAATATGGTTTGTGTAAAAATAAAATAAGTCATAGATCATTTAATAATTTCTCACTATAAGTAAAGAAAAAACGCAACCCCTGGGCCATCAATCCAACTTTTAAGGAACTAGCGACAAGATTGACTTTAATACTGGTATATTCTGGAACCATTTTGGTCAATTTCATCTTAAGTACCAATAATAATATACCGGTAATATATTTCCTAAAATAATAATCATGTTTGCCACAAATAGCTAGCAATTTACAGGAATATATCATGAAAGTATACAGTACCGTAACATTTTTATGGGCTTTTACAAAATTATTACTTTTATTACTTTCATAATTTGGATATGTTTGACGATAATTAATTTACTTAGATTTTGATGAGAGAAACTCGTCTTTTAGTTTATTGAACAGTTCTGTAAATGTTAGATCAGAATTAGGCTCGAACTCGTCCATTACGTTGCAACTAGCTACATAATCGAAGTATGGCCAATGCGTGTTGTCATTCTCCCCGTATTTGTAGCACTGAATGGTGGCGCAGAAGTCGTCCGTGTTATTCCAGAGCTTGTGTGTTTGGTACCAATTTGGCGATATCCATGTGACGTCATCTTTCTTTACATTAAAGTCGAACATGTAGTCTTGATCATCGGGCGTGTAAGTCGTCGATTGTTTTACTTGTGAAGTCTTGTTATACACGTTTATGGTCAATCCACCATGTAAAACGCGAATTACTCCATATGAATTTCCGTGATTATGTATCGGGCTACCATGGTCACTTGGCCAGATCTCCAGTACGTAAGGCACGCCGGGTGAATTCCCAAACTCATGACCCAAAGTGATACGGAGGTATGTCTGTCTAGGATCCGACTTGCCAAACTCTCCTTCTTTGCTTTTAAGAATTCCGTGTAGAAGAGCGTCTGGTGTCCGAATGCTATTTCGGATGGCGTCAACCAGATTGAAGTCTGGACAAGAGTCGTCTTCCATTAATGCAAGATCAACATTCTTTGCAGTTACATTTGTGTACAGCTCTAAACATTCTTTCGGAAGACTGGCAGAATAAGTGAAACGACCTTCATCTAGATCGAACATATTGAGCATTGAACTGTCTACTGCAATTGGAGGACGGTCGGAGACGAATGGCAGATGATCGAAGTCAACAACCGTTTCGACATCCATCATGGAGTACGTAACATCAACTTCATCATACAGCTCTACATTTCGATGGACTGTAGGGTTGAAGAATGCATCTTTTATGATTTTTCGCAGACTTTCTTTCACAAGGTAGACATTTTCATTCAGAATCGTGGTCATGTTCATTCTGTAACCCTTTCCGTACTTCACGATCATGCGGTCGCTATCGTAGCTGAGCCAATACGTACAAAACAGATCCTTCTCGATACCAATATTGTTTCCAAAAAAGGGGTGAGGTTTCTTTGAAGGATACACAAAATTATGATTATCCGTCTTGCAAGTGAGAATGGCTTCCTCATACCCTACTTTCATCTCAATGAAGGATGTATCGATCTGCGAGTTTGGTACTAAGTCTCGAACGATGATACGAAATGGTCGGTTTCGTGAAACGTTAAAAAGAAAAGTACCCTTTCCAATAACTGGAAACGGCTTACACCAAGTTGGCTTATCTTGCTCTGTTGAAGTCATCTTTCGTCTGTTAAGCAAAATGAAACCACCAATTGAAATCAGTCGACTATTTATTCATCGAAGTGTTATTCACCCACATATTATACAAATCATCACAGACAGTCGATTGGTCAGTAAACCTTATCTCTTAACATATCGATTTTAATTGGTCAACAATCTGTCAACTTTGTATTTAAGGTTGTCAATGCGGCGATTGTGTTTATTGAAAGATGTTTGTTCACATACCACCAGACGATAGGTCACACTCCAACGTTTTGCAAGCTGCCCAGACTATTCGACAACAACACGTGACGTGCCTAAATATGGTCATGATGACATCACACCATCACCATATGTAGGCACGTCATGACTATCTGAAAATTGTATGTTAACTCCTCCACACCCCTGATGCAGGATATATTGTGTACAGATCAATTGCCTATCATATTCATATCGTATTACTGTATATTAAAATCTGTCCTTACATTAATAAAAATGCATAATATATAAATTATTAAACGAAAATCCATACACTAAAAATAAATAATAAATAGATTAATAAATTAACTGAAGTTGACAACAAGAAGGAATTCACAATTCAAAGGCAGGTGGTACAAAACTACACAATAGACCTTGAATAAATTTGAATAATTTAGTCTGAATAGTCTGTCAACGGAAATACAGGTACCGTTATTTGAATAAACGCCTCGAGGATTGAGAAGGTTTTTGAGGCTAGGGGAGTTTATTCGAGGGGGTTTATTTGAGGGAGTTTATTTTATTTTTTTTATTTGGTGTATGGATACCATACTCAAATAAACGCCCTTTAATTTCACTGTAAACGTGGAACCATTATATAACACGTACATAATTGCCGTCAAAATGTATTATTGCGTAATCATTAAGACTTTGATCCCCAACCAGATTTGAAAAATTGTAATTCTAGTAGAGTGAATGTTGAGAATTATGTTTATATTTATGCAATGCTGATACACTGTACTGAGAAAAAATAGCAAATTATATATTGAAATTGTTTGTGAAATGTTTATAAGTCCTTGGTTCATTGTAATACTACAAAACAAAATCAGATCAATTTTAAATCAAATTTGTGAACATACTTGCCTGATTTTATTTGTGATTAGTTTGATTTTAAGTGTGTAAAGTATGATTGATTTGCATGCCAAGTGAAATTAGTACCCTTATTTTGCTTTGTTTTACCGTACCGTAATTCTCGGTTAGGCCTGGCTGTACGCCTAGCCGTTACGCAGTGTGGCTAAGGAAACCCTCGAGGCGTTTATTCAAATAACTGTACCTGCATTTCCGTTGACAGAGTATTCAGACTAAATTATGTGCCTTCCTATCCTGGTAACAGTTATAAGTCCTTGCTTTAATCACCGTATCGTACCGTATCACACAAAATCATTTGCAAAGATAATAGATTTAGTATCATCATGCTAGGCTGACAACATTCGTTCATATAATATATGCAGCACTATTTCATCATATGCAACAATAATTAGAATATTTATGAATAGGTGTATTAAATGCAAATATGAACTGACATTTAAGCCGATATATTATAGAACAAAATGCTGTGCAACTTATTTAACCGGACGCAGACTTGATTATATGGAATTTAAAAAAAAAAGTAATTTGTATTATAAAATTGTTTGAGAAATAAATGTGAACTTGAACTTGATTATAATAGGCAAATGTAAGGAGGGAACAACAGGTTAGTTACTAACGCAGCAAGACATCGCTTCGAGCATCCAAGCATCAAACCAAGTATAAGAAAGAACCGCTGTGGCGGCTCTAGGATATATTTTCTGGGGGAGGCTAAGTTGTCCGACAGGGGGACTTGAGCTCGTAGGCTCGAGCTGGAGGAAGGGGTTGAGAGTGGGCATGGCCGAAAATGGCACTCTCAGACTGTGACAGATATGTGTTGGCTTGTTGTGTGGGCCTATTTTATATGTTTTATGGTCTGACTGCCCGACGAGCTCTGTCCGGCGGGGTGGTGGGGGGGAGCTCTGTCCGGCGGGGGGGGGGGGGGGGGGGGGGTACCTTGAGTCCTTACCAGCCTCAACCCCATCATAGCTGGGGTAAATTTTAAAGATATAACACCTCAGATGTCTAGAGATGGCAATAAAAAAGGCAAATTTGAAATTTCAATATTTGGAGTTAATTTCAACAACTTCCATGAAAATGGTACTTTTTAATAATAATTTAAAAGGGCAATCATTCTGGAAAAGGAAGGGTTCTTTCGAACACCCTGGCTACGGGCTTGGATTTTGTGTCATAACAACCATGCTGATATCGTTCCCAATAGCCATCTTGTAAACCACTTAATATTGCATAAGTCTAGTATTTTTTATTATTATTTTGTTTATTCCTGCCTATACTTGGTTAGGTCAGTAGATAATGGTAGCAGGTTTCTCAATTCGTTTGTCTTTGTACAATTCTGTCAGGTGGCTGTAATTCCACTAAGTAAATGCTTGGATTAAATTGCAATGCTCTCATTTCTTTAGATTCATTGCATTCTATTTTTTAATCAGCGAAATAATTGATAATTGCACATTGAAACTATTGTAGGACGGGTATACTGTGTGTCTTAAAACGACTTGCAATCACGTTTGAATTACCAGACGTACCCTTTACGACACAAAGACGTTTTTATTTCGGTAAATATGCGGAGATGTAAAAAAAAACACAATTAATTCTGTTTATATTTTTTTCTATAGTTGTTTATTCTTTAGCGATTTAATCAAAAGAAATTATTTAAAAAAAAATAGGCCTATACATGCTGCAAAAATATAAAGAATACCAGCAGCGAATCTAGAATTCTTTAAACGGGTGGGCACAACAGTTTCAGAATAGAGGCCTAAGTGATTCACATAACATTGATATGCACTAAATTTGTTTTTTTTTTTAATTTAGCGGCAAATGGACCCGACCCTAAATACTTGTGTTTGATTTTACACACTATTAAAATGACAATATTGGATCTTTTAATGAATAGAACTACAAAATAATCAGGTACTTCTTCTTGCTTCGACCGCCTTTACAAATTTGCGAATATCCTGTGCGAGTAAACTAGGTACCTCGAATGCTGCAAAATGGCCTCCACGTGGCATGATACTAAACTGCACAAGATCAACAAACTGTTTTCGAGTCCATTGCTCTGGTGGGCGGTTAAACTCATTTGGAAAATCAGCAACAGCAGTTGGCACGGTTATTTCATATATTGGTTCTTGAAACAACTCTGCGATGTTTTCCTTGTAAAACCTCATTGCTGTTGTCATTGAATTCGTCATCCAATATAACATAATATTTGTCAAGACTTCGTCTAGCTTCCAGTTCTCTTCAATACCACCATCATCCCTATTTCGGTTATGTTTATTTGTTCCAGTTGAAAACTTTTCCAAGATGTACGCAGCAAGTCCAATCGGGGAATCGTCAAGGGCTTGACCTATAGTATCTGGTTTTGTTGCTTGTATATGCATATAACCAGTTTCAAGTAATAGATCAGTGAATTTTTCTCCAACCGGAAAAACCTTTTCTTGATCATCTTTTGAGCTAAATACAAGGTTAGGAAAGTAACTACCAATCAATAGGAGAAGTGGTTGGAAAGGAACACGGGGGGTTGCCATGTTGGTATGAAGACCCAAGATTGACTTCGGGGCTATTAGTGCCATTTTAGTAACTATAGCTGCACCCCAATCTCCACCTTGAATGTAATACTTATCAAAGCCAAGTCGCTTCATGAGCTTGTCATATATTCTTGCAACCGCTAAAGCGTTGAGCCCTTTTTTGTGAGATGCTTCGGAAAATGTGAAACCAGGTATTGTTGGGCAAATTAATTCAAAAACATCATCAGATTGACCACCATGAGCCAAAGGGTCAGTCATCATTGGAGCAATCTTCAAGAATTCGTAGAAGGAGCCAGGCCAACCATGAAGCATCATTAATGGTATTGCCTTCTGTCCAGGCTGAAGATTAGGTTTGATATGCATGAAGTGAATGTCCAGGCCTTCGATAGAGGTTTTGAAATGAGCGAACTTGTTTATCTCTTCTTGCTCTTTAGTCCAGTTATAACTACTCAGCCAATATTTGGCAACTTTTCTCATGTACTCAGGTCTCGTCCCGTAATGAAATTGGCTGTCTTCCAATCCTTCCGCAAAACGAGCATTCCTAATTCTTGACTTTAAGTCGTTAAGTGCAGACGATCCAAGCTTGATTTCAAATGGAGATATCGACTCATCTGCCGGCGTTGTTGGTCTCATACCCTTACCCCACCAGCCATCGCCGTATGCAGGAGCCTCTGGGGTTGAATGGAATGCACCACTTAGAATTAGAGCAGCCCCAACAGCAAGAAGTATAACACTAGATTTGAACTCGTCACTGAGGACGAATTCGGTGATCCGCCGTACTTTGACCATCAGGAAGCGCGCGCGGTGCTGATTGAAAAGTTTCATAATATGCTAACATATGCTGTAATTAGTTTTAAAAAAAAGAATAATTTTGAGCATTTTAAAAGACTTACGCATGCGCATACGCACGTCTTGACGCCCGTGAGCACGGTAATGTCACAAAGGGTGACTCTGACTCTCTCAGGAACACAAAATAAGTAACAACGCGTAATTTCCAGCTTTAGTATGTGCTGTGTGCGTGGAAATGAAGGTACGGCGGGTAAATTATGGAAAGTTTTGAAATGCCGAAAATGACCCGAAACGTTCTTTAAACTATCTGAATAGTAATATGGAGAATTTTCAAATTTTAACAGACACGCACGTCACCATGTGTGCGTGTACAGTAATAGCACACGAAATTAAACATTGTCAAGTGTATTTAAAACCGCCTGTTAGTCGGTAATGCCACACGAACTTTCCCTTCATATAACCTATATATATTTTTCTGATAGCGTCGAAATACAGTCTGCCGCCCTCACTCTTTTCTATTTGTGCACATCTTTTAAAAATGAGAGATAAAAGGGCTCCAAATATTCATTCTTTTTGACCATGATGACGTGATCAAAATGAAAAATAAAGAGACACGTCTTAAAGAGAATTGATTTAGCTATAACATACTAACAGGTGGGAGACAATCAATCAAGAATAAGCGAGATACGTTCAAACGAATATAAACATAATGGCATTATAAATAAAAATTCAGTTTTTTAATTCAAATGGCAATATGATGACGTCACAATGTCCGATCAGCCATTATGAAGTAAAAAATCGTATCTACAACTCATGTGCTTTCAGATTATGTAATAAAAATTGGGGGTCACCTTTCATCCTAAGGAGCTATAACTGATTTAAAATATTCATGATTATATGCATATATAAATGTTGACGCACGCGTACGTGCACGATAAAAAGCGCGAACGTAAAATTAAGGCACACAACATTTAACCTTGACCTGAAGCTTATGCTCACCTAATATGATTTAAAAATGACGAGTGGTTAAGATTATATGGGCTCATCAACGTTTTGAAGAAAGAGAAATGAGGGGGTCAGAAAAAACAATTTTTTTGACCATGATGACGTCATCAAAATGTAAAAAGAAGTCAAATATATGTACGTCGCTATGACCTGACTAAACTCGTGTCTCTTGTTAAGAATCGCCCAAGTAAGATATTATATCATATCATTTACTATTGTGGGACAAACCTGTTCAAAGTAAATAAACCAAAAAGGACAAAAACCAAAAAAAAATAAGGGAACCAAAAAAAAAAAAAAAAACAGGGGGAACCAAAAGGGGAAAGGATAGGCCTAGGCTAGCCTAGACCCTATTCTAGAGATTCTATGATGCTAGTACTAGCAGGGAGATGTAAAAAATCATCTCCCTGGTACTAGTGGCTTGGAGAAGCTCATGATGCAGGTAACCTATTTGTAGTGTCAAAAGTAAATCAGTCCTCAGTGGTGCTCAGAGTCTCGGGCACATGTTGCAGGCTACATTATGTAATTTTCAGTATTCAATATTCAAATACTATCAAATTCTATATTTATTATGATAAATTAATTTCTGTAATTGATGAATAATAATTATTGCACATTAGTTTCAGGTGATCCTGTGGATGATTACTTGACAAAGACATCAGTGAGATCAAGAGAATCTCATCAAAATGAGTCATCTGATACCTCTTCCTCAGAATCATCATCAGAAGATGAAGAAACGTATGAAGAGAAACATGAACATGATAATGGAATTTGTTGTAATGCAAATTGTACCAAAAACAATCTTGCTCATAACCAAAAGAAGAGGAAATTAGAAGAAAATTCTAAATTTCCAATGAAAAGGAGGAAATATTCTAAGGACAGTTCAGGGAAAAAAATCAAAGGTTGTAGAAATCAAGATGAAAAGGTTGAAGATTCTTTGCCAAGGGCTGTCATTCACACCTGCGGTAATTATTGTTTCTAAGTGCTGCTTATAAAAATGTGGCAAAGACCATCCAAACCAGTCACTCCTCTCAAAAATTGACTTTTAGTTATTGATACAAAGTTCAGCAGTAAAGTGAAAGTTATAAAATGGTAAACGAATCATTTAAATCTGACATTTTGTTATGAAGTTGCAGGAGTTTAAATATACAGCTGTTTAAAGAAGAGTATTTAAGAAATCAGCCTTCAAAGTTAAAATTTCAGCTATTTTTCAGGCCATCACCAAATTGTTAAATGTTGTTTTAACATTGAAAATGGGGAAAAAAATATACCGGTACATTCGAATATGTTTTGCCCTTTATCTCCGCAACACGATTTGCTAGGGGTGACTGGTTTGGCTCCTCTTTGCCAGAAATTTTTTTAAAAATGTGAGTTTTTAATTCAATTTTTTGAATTTGTTTTTTATATTTATTTATAGTAGCACGCATGTATTATAAATTTAATTTAACAAAATCATATCCAAATTTGTAAGCAAAATAGGTATTATATATCAATATATAACAAACGAGTAACCCTTTTGATTTATAAAAAATTATTTAACTCAGATGTGAAGCTTAGAGTGCGGGCGGAGTATGTTCGCCATGACGATGATCTACATAACCACATCCACTCCAACAAGCAACACCGTAAGGAAAAGCAGTTTGAGTTATTCTCACAAGCTAGCACGATCTTACGAACCAGAGACCTTGGCTCCATTGTTTGTGATATTAAATTCTCAGAAATCACTTACCTGGATGCCTTTTGGAGGGATTATGCCAATGGAGCCTTGCTTGAAGCATTGAAAAGCGTGTTCATATCAGAAGCGTTGAAGGAGGAGATTGGCCATAATGCAATTCGGTTACTAGTTAGCGTCGACGAGGAGGATTACGAGAAGGGGCGCAACACTCTCATGAAAAACCTGACTTCGGAATTATGATTTAAACTTGTACTACTATCCTACAGAGGTACCTTTAGGCAGTTTAACTTGATCACATGATAAACTCCGGTTGGTGCATATTCAGAGGCTGGAGTAACTGGACAAATTTTTCATATTTTTGTTATGTTCTTTACCTGAAAAAAAACTTTCGAACTATTAGAATGCCTTCTGAATAAGTCAGCTAGTGTGGCTGTATTTTAAATGAACATTTTTGCTGCAGCTTAAGGTTGTTAACATAGGCCTTATAATAGTAGTGAGACTTGTTAGTTTATAGAGTGTTATATGGTTTATTTCTTTGTTGGCGGCAAGTCGCTCCTTGTAGGATGAAATAAACAAACTTGGCCATGATATTTGAATGCCAAAGAATTATGAATTTACTTACATACCTACATTTGGCCCATTAGGCTGCTGTGTGGCCCATATAAGGAGGTCAGATTTAAAGGTTTGTTTTTGATAAGATAATGATGATCTGTCACGGTTTTACCTGTATGATCAACTTACTCCAGCGATCTATTCAACTTCAGATACTGTGCTGGATTTTGGGAGTGGTTATTGAATTGACTACAATTCAGGTCCTCAACCCAGCATTTGGGGATAATTACATTTGGGCAAAGCACTTTACCTAAATTTTGTCTTCCAACCTAGGAGTATAAATGGGTACCAAGTGGGATGTTGTGGCATTGAATGTATTAGTCTGTGCCTAGTGCAGTAGGTAACTCAGGAAACAAAAAGTTTGCACCAAGGTTGGTATAACATGGCTAGCACCTTGTAAGGCATTCTATATGATCATCATCTTCATGATTTTAATTCTAATCAAAAAACAAATGTAAACAGACAGCTCAAAATATTAACATTAGCCAAATTTATTTATATAAAAAATCCTTTTAATGTACAGTATTTAACAAATGCCCCATGGTCTAATGTACTGTACTATCATTACTGTACGATTCATGATAATCTGTTTAAAAAAACATAAAAGTTCTGAACATGGAAAACATTTGGTAAGGCATCTTAAAAGGCATTCTATATGATCATCATCTTTATGGTTTTACTGTATATCTATATAGAAATGCAACTGTTAACAGACAACTCAAAATATTAACATCAGCCAAATTTATTTACTTTATATAAAAAAAGCCTAATGGACTAATGTACTGTACTATCATTACTGTACAATTCATGATTATATGTTTAAAAAATACGTAACAGTTCTGAACATGACAAACATTTGATCATATCAGTTTTATATTCATGGTTGCTCACAGTAACATAATATGGCAGCACTGTTTGAAAAAAGTATGGTAATAATTTTTTTTTTCTTAATTTTGCTTCATTTATACTAGTATTTTATATTCACACAACAATCTGATATTTAAAAATACATAAATTCTCAGAAGAATAATTAAAACAATATTGTTCGTCTTGAAAGATGGCTGTTATTATGCTATTATAAATAAATATATCCTACTCACAATGACTAAAGAGGTACAATAGTAGATAACGCTTTGGATGGAAATGTTATCAAAAAAGAAATGGACGGAATGGGTATAAAAAGAAGGTTGTTACGCTCATTACAAGCAAATTAATTATTAAGGAAATGGGCATTCTTCCGACATGCCATAGTGCATAAAGATAGTTTAAGGTTAGCATTAAACCAGCCCCACCAATTGGAACAATAACCATAGCCGATTATTAAATTTGGATATTTTATCACACGAAGGACGGAATGATTTCACACATGACATCAATGAAGACATCACACACTAATGATATCACACGATTAAGCACATCACCATGCAGATACTATAGAAGCTTTACACTAATTGTGGTATAAGCACACACGTCTTCAGATGTTGGGGATAAAAATTCTACACTTAATGTGGCTATGTTCACATACACCAGCTAACGGTTAGCAGGATCCACATAAATAACATACACGCTCGCCCTTGCATTAATACAAGAAAATCCCCAATCCAGATATCAAGATGATGATGGGATCACTGGCCATTAGGAAATTAGAAATGCATACATGTGATTAATTAATGATAGAAACGCGCTTAACTTGCTAACCCACAAGGTTTTTTTTTTGCAGCCTGCGACAATGAATTAAAAACCCTATGTGTGCGGCCTGCCAAGCAACATTGGCTAGAAAACACCTTGTTTTTTACGATCCGACACCAATCATATGTAAAAAGTAACATTAAACCTAAGAATAAAGTGGTGTAAAGGCAATGCTTTTGGAAGGTCGCTGGAAACATCAAAATTGTGGTGCGGCCCTCGGTTTTAAATTGAAAATTCACTTTGGCCCTCGTAACGATTTTTATGCCCACCCCTGTGTTAACTGACAGCGCTCGCTGTTAGCATATCCAGATTCTGATAATGGTTAGCGCTAACCGATCAGGCGTTCTCACACGGGTGCTAATGGTTAGTGCTAACAGTTAGCTCCCAATCCGGATACTAGGGCTCTAGTGTGAACCTAACCCTAGTCTCAGACCCACTATTGTTTGCTCTTCTCACCCCCCCCCCCCCAAAAAAAATCAGCCCAATTTTGTATACAAGGCGATGGGATTATACCCAAGTAAATACAGTACAATACTAATATAGCACATAAATTTTGATAGGAGTTAAGGAATGACTTCAAATTAAAAGAGTGATTCAAGCTTATACTTATTAATGTACCTAGGCACTAGTAATGGAAAGTTGCCATATGTTTCCTATTAATTCTATATGATGAATAAAATACCTAAGGTGCAGTTGCAATTAAACATTTCCTAGGCCTGCTATACTACTATACTATCAGGCAACAGAAATTATGCAATTATTAACAATTTCACATGATTAACATTACTAAATATAAATAACAAAGCACAAATGTATTAAAAAACATCATCTAAGTTAGAATAGGCAAAGAATATATAGGCAATATAGGCAATGATTACTACTTATTTTTACCAGTTTTACATTTTAGTACATTAATTATTTGAATCAAAATCACTACATTCATTCACACATGCTAACTTGAATGGTAATACAGTACAATTAAAGCAAAACAATACAGTACAACATAAATAAATGAATAAAAATTAATGTTATATCTCCAAATACATTGTTACTCATCTTTTTGAAAAATTGTAATATAGTTTTGGAATAGCGTGTTACATTGCATTGACATGGAAAATACTAGATTGATACAAATGAAAATTAGTTTACATTCCTATCTGTATGTATTCTATTGTAGTAAAATAAGATAGTATCAAGGTGATATACTTCTATAAATAAAATATTTGTTTAAAATGTTTGAAACTAATCAATAATTCAATACATTTAAATATGTTGTTTTATACTTTGGTCTAATATTTCGGAAAAATAACATCATTTTTTAAAATGGATATGAGCACTATAGTATTTTATACAGTAATTTTCTAATATTAAAATATTTCTTACTATTTTTTAACACAAGATTCATTTATTTATTTATTTTCATACTTTAAGGTCTGTCCACACTATGACATTTTATGTGACAAGTAAATGTGATATGCCCATATTTGGGTGCAGCATTATCATGATCATGATAATCACACAGGGCATCACACATATAAAATTTGATAGAGTGGACAGAGCATAATACCCTTTTCACACTGCCAATTCTTCTCAAATAGTAACTAGTTGTAACCAGGTTTGTGTAGTGTGAAAGCAAATTCATGTAAAACCTTCCAAAATATCGCAGGGAATCCCTGCGATATCTTGGAAGAAAAACAGGCCTTGTTATTCAGTACGCATGCGTTCGTACTGCCATCAGACAATGGAGAACAAATTAATGTCGGGCATGCTGAGCCTACTCTAGATATCTACAGTAGGCCTACTATTTTCCCGAGATTTCACATGGTTTGGATTACTGTGCGCATGAACAAAGAAAATATCTCGGGAGATCAAAGTTGTTACAACTTGTTACGAATTAAAAGGTGAAAATGGTACAAGTAAGTCTAAAAATGCTTTGGATATTTACAATATAAATTTTGATATTCAAACGAGTTAATATAAACCCGCTTCTTCAGTTTGCCGTTGCCACATGGAAGCTAAATTCACTTCTGTGTCACTCTTGTCCAAGGAACTGTTGCTGGTCGTTGCTTCGGCACTAGCATGTAAATGCTCTCTGTTTTTCTCTTGCTTCCGGCGGTGCTTATCTGCCTCCTTCTCGGCACGATCCATACTCTTTTGTGCTGCTTTCAAAACTTTTTGTCTTTCACGCTCTGCTCGCTCCTTTATCTTCCTGTGAGTCTGCTCCAGGCGATGGCGTGCTGCTAGATTGTGGTCGATGATCTTGCGTCCATAAACATGCGTGTTTGGAAATATAGGTTGGGTTAAAGTTGAAGCAGTCTTATTATCTGAGGTCTCCTCCTTATTCACATTATGATTATGTTCATTATCATCTGATTTAGTTGCCACTGCATATATAAAATATTTGTTGAATATTTAAAAATTTGAAAGAAATATAGTTATAATTTTACTTGTTTTAATAATATATTTTGAAATTCCTTCCTTGAACTTTTTTTTCTCAAAATTATTTTGTACAGGGCCACCAATAAATTATTATAAAAATGGTTAACTGATGGTTCCTCAGAGTTTACCCCTCTATGTATAATACCCTTGCTCCAAACATGCTTCTCAACACGTTAGGCCTGTTTTCCACTAGGCAAATTTATTCGCGGGAATGGAAAGCGTCAGTTTATGCACAATTACATTTTTATCAGGGGGTTTTTCGCTTCAGCGAAATCAGTAGTTCAAACTGTTTCTACTTTTTGCAAAGCAAAAATATGCGGAACCAACCAGAGCTCAGGAAGCAAACGGATGCTTCTATCAATGCCGTAGCCAGGATTTTCAAACAGCATGGGACAATATGAGGGTGGACCCATTTTCTTAAATGTTGAGCCATTTTATTCAAAAATATGAAAAATCTGAACCCATTTTCTTAAAATTTTTCCCATTTTAGGCTAAATATGAGACATTTTGACCAATTTTTCAAAAGACTCATTTTATGCATGAAATTGCATAATTTTGACCTATTTTAAAAAATGTGAAACCATTCTTTGTGGATCCATTAGAAAAATTGTGTGAGACTGTCCCAAAAGCTGGCTACTATCGAATACATTCACCTAGTGGAAAACAGCCTTTATCCTCAGGTTTGAGTCTTCATGAAATAATCAAGTCATTTTAAATCTAAACACTTTTACCTTCTTGTTTGTCACTAAATGAGCTAAGTGATGGCGGGTCTTTGTTTTCATCTTCGTTCCTATCTGGTGTGTCCGCAATTACTGCCTTCCCAACGAGAACTACATCAGGATTATCAGGGCTGGAATGAAAAAATAGTTGGGAGGAAATTGTCACAATTTTCATTACCAACAATGACAAGCATCATTAAGAAACATATTTATACAGCATAAGTGTCATTAAATACAAATCACAAACAATGGATACAATGGTTAAAAACCAAAGCTCTGAGCTCACAGTTTTCAATCAATCAATATGGATTTGTATAGCACCTAGTGGGTGGAGAGAGTTAAGTGCCTTCTTAAAAACACATTAAGTACAGTGAGGGATTAAAACCCTTGCTTTAAGGTTAAAATTACAACCAAACCCACTAACAGAGCAGCTAATAAATGAGAACACAATTGTTTTGTTGTACCTTCTCAAGTAGCATTGTATTTCCTTACATTAATATTAATTACATAAAATTGAAAATTGCTTACTTTTTGTAAAGTATATCATCTCTCCCTTCCAGTACAAGTTTGCGTTTCTTTGTGAGCCAACTTCTTCTCTTCATCACCTTTCTCCCATTGTCTCTTAACTCATATTGAGAAACAGTGGATAAAGTACTCTCGTCAGGATTGTAACCCTGGTTGACGTTGTAGCTACCAGCCCGGCCCGAATCATTGCTACCCATCGACCCGTCAGAACCAGTATCCCCATACATGTCGCTGAAAAATGCCAAACAAGTTGATGAGCTGTTTGTATTTATGCAAATTTACTTGCAAGTTATATTTTTATCATTTTCATTAATTTCTGATATTATAATAGTAGTTCTTGAATAGTAAGTGTGGTTAGAGGTTAGACATTGGCAACAACAATCCCCTGATCAATACCTGAAAGGTAAATCTATGATAATGATATGAATTCACATCTTGATACTTTTATTTGTCTGTGCTGAGGGGTGTTAAACAGATTGGAATGTTGTTACAAGTTGAGGAGTTGAACATTAAACACAAGGTACACCAAGGGCAGGGGATTATGCAAGGTTCGGAACATAGGGAATGCGGTGTTCGCTGAGTTACAAAGGGGTTCTGCTATAACTTAACTATTTGTTACCAAATATCTAAGTTGATAAATAGAATAAGCAAATTAGTTTTGGATTTCCAAAAGTTAAGAATCTTACCCATTGCTGATCCAATATTTGTCTGGTATCATTTTCCTTCTTCTACCGTACGGTGCGATGTGACCAGTTCGTGTTGACCGGATTCTTCGCCAGGCAACAAAGATAATAACGGCAACAAGCACAATGAATAGAACAGCACCCACTACAATTGCTGCTAGCAGCTCATTGCTAAAACTACCACCCATTTGTTGACCCTGTTCTGCTTCTGATCCTCCTAGAAAAAAAAAAGCTTTTAAATTAATTCATCTTTATATAATGTGTTAGCACTGAATTATTTTTAACCAAGATAAGTGTAATTTTTTTTTATAGCTAAAATGTACCTTCATTTGATTTAAATACATAGTGGGTTTTACTGAAACCATGGCTAAATACCATTCGTACCATGAAAATGAATGTTCAATGCACAATCATAGCATGTCCAAATTTGAACTCCTGGGTGCACAAATGCATGAAATATTTTGTTATGCATACTGTGTTACTGTATCATGTGCAGTACCATTGCTTTTATAAGGGATTAAAAGTAATGAGTTTGTATTTATAAACGGCAATGATATTTGTGAGAAATACAACTCACCAGGATCAGTTGTAATGATCACTTCCTCTGAATATAGACCTCCTCCTGATGAGGACCATATAGCTATCTTGAAGGCATACGTAGTGTTCGGCTCAAGGCCTGTGATAATCCTACTATTGGCAGTGGGCTCAGGTTCTGACAATATGAATGTCTCATTTGTGGCTAGACGTCGATATTTTATTGAATAAGATTCAAAAAGTGAATTTTCCACAGCCTAAGGAAATAGACAATAAAAGATGTTATATTAATGATCAAAACCTTAACAATTTAAATCTTTTAATAAGAGTCGCTCTCTTTTAGCACTACACATTCTGTGTGGTAACACTGTAGCGTAAAAATAAATTGCCAGATAATATTCATGTACACTAAATGGGAGCATTAGCAGAAACAAATTTACCTGGACACTTAAACAAGAGATAAATACTTACCGTCCATGAGATTTTAACTGCATCTGATCCATATGAAGTAACCTGTAACCCCTGAACAATTAATGTTAATACTATAAAACAAAAGAAATTTTATTATAATAAAATAGTACAGTAATGCAGTTCATGAACAAACCAATATACAACAGCTAAATCATCAGGATTTATGTCCTAAGAGATCATTTATATAAAAGAACTTCTGAAAACAATCACTATGTAAATATCTAACATTTTCAATATTTAAATGATTTTATGATAAACTTATGTTTTTCAGTGGTATTTTAAAAATGCTTTTAACTGTAAAATAGCATTATTATTAACATAAGTTATGAATAGTTATTAACTGTTTTTTTTCTAATAAGTCTTTCAAAACTCTAAAAACCTGCAATTGGTGAAAGGGTTGTACCAGTTTATTAAGCGTCTTAGACGTTGATGTCAAATACTAATGTATTAGTTTACCAATGAGGGATCAAGCAGCATCACGTTTATCTTACCATTTGATTCAGTTTTAGCAAAAAGTGTTACAAATTCACTCCATCCGTACACTTCCTTATTCCCAGCACGTATACGTATCTCATAATACGTTGCATACTCAAGATTCTCAATCAACGTCTCTAATGGCGGATTGTTCTCAAACTGGACGACAGCTTCCTGCACTGAGGAACCATTCACTCGGTGGCGTAGCTCAAAAATTATATTTTCCACTGGTCCGTTCAGCTCTTCAGGTTCTCGCCAGCGAACCGTAAAGGAATTTGCATGTGCTACAACATTGAGGTTGTACGGTTTGGATGGTATACTTTGCTTGGTGGTAACTTGGGTGGAAGGGACGCTCGGTGGTCCAATCCCAAGATCATTAACAGATCTCAGACTGAAGATATAATTGGTGTACGGTGTAAGATTCTTTACTGTGTACGTTCGTTGAACAATGTGTTCTGAAAGTTCAATATACACACTGCTTTGGATCTAAATGTAAATAAATTAAATAATAAGTCAATTTACAATAGGAAAATACATCAATCTCAATACAAAGTCTCTCATTTTTCACAGACATCCTATTTAAACTGTTAATTTAATTTGACTAAGAATTAATCAGAATTAAACAAAAATTATGAATAAATGAACTACATGTAATGAGTTGTAAATGCAATACCTGCAGAGTATTTACCTCTTTATATAATACTCTAAAGCCTGTGATGCTTAAATCACTATCAGAGGATGGTTGGCTCCAAGCCAATCCCACTGAGGTAGATAAAATGGAAGTGAGAGTTGGGGGACTTGGAGATTCAGGCACTGAAGAGGAAAATGAAATGACATCATGAAAATGTATACTTGGCTATGATAACAGGCTCTCTGATGTAAGAAAAATGATTAAAAATTGAAACAAGCAAACTTGTATCTTGAATTATATATTATATCCAGGTATGCTTTTATAATTGTAAAACATTAAAGCTCAAATTGTTCATGTCAATTTCCTGCCAACCTTACTATTTTTGAACCAACCACATGGCAGATGCAAACATATGGTCATCAACAGAAGGCAACATTCACCATTTTTCGTTACTCCAGAAGTATTTAATATTCAATTCATTCTTACCTTTTAAACATCTTTGATCACTACCTCTTGAATTCTGAGCAATACATGAATATTCATTAGATTCAATTTCATCAAGATCTTGTATAACTAGAGCGCCCTCTGGTGTTATGAAATGACTCGGAATACCAGAGCCTGTAAGTCGAATTCCATTTACTTCCCACGCTATAGTGGGATCAGGTGATCCAATAGCATCACAACATATCGTAACTGAAGTCTCTTGGTGGGTGATTTGAATATTGGTTAAAACAGGTGGGCCTACATTGCAAGACACAAACACAAAAAGGGGTTGATTTCATATATAATTTTATTATCAAGTATATAAAGAAAAAGACATTCATGACAAGAGAATAAAAGAAATTAATGATGAATTATAAAATTCAACAATTAATAACGGATGAAATGTTTCAAAAAACAACTGGAATAATGAAGCTGTTGCTTCGTTGTTAAGAAGCTTGCCTCTAAATCCCAGAGTCCTGGGTTCAAATCATACAAAACCAGAAGAAATATTTCTGACAGATAAAAGACAATTCCACTCCCTAGACTCATCAAAATACTGAGTTGGTAGAGCCATCACTTCCATCCTGTTATATTGGCAAGTCACTTGCTGTTGAATGACAAAAAAATAATGCAGAATATCTAACGACTCACCTAAAATAGTGACCATCACAGATCGGTTGGCCACCCCAAGTTCATTTGTAGCAAGACAGGTGAATTCACCATGGTGTCCACTCACTGTTAGGTTGCTAATTAATAATGACCCCTGCACTCCTGAGATACTGATGTCACTTGTGGCTGGTTGTCCTGATGGAAGGATCCATTCTATATGTGGGGTCGGCCTTCCTTCTGCTATGCATTCTAGATGAAGCTGTTCTGTACCTGAATCTTGTGTATATGTGACTGGGTCGATGGGAAAAACTCTTGGTGGAACTAAACAGAAATTTATGATGTATTAATTTCTTATAGAATAATACCATACTAAAATAATTAGTAAATGAAGTAAAATAACTTGGATATTATGACATAATATAGTCTCTGTATTTCATATTTTATAATCATTTTGGTTATGAACATTTATATAATCGTACATAATAATATAAATGACACACAACATATACAGATGCATAATACCAAAAAATGTTTTTGTTACTTACAATTTACAGCCAAGTATGCCAATCCCGATATTGCATCTATTGAGTTTGTTGCGACACATCTATAAAAAGAACTATCAATCTCTTTTACAGACACAAACTCCAATGAGCCACTAGTCGAGATGTATGTGTCTTCACCCGGAATATTAAGCTCTGAGTCACCCATACCAACAATGCTTAATTCAGAGCCACTGGCATCTGAAATGTACCACGAGATGATTGGCCTCTCTCGTGCAGTTGCTAGGCAGACTAAAGAAGCTGGGTCTCCCTGATTGGCTGTCACATTGGTGGGTGCGGTTATAAATTTAGGAATATCTATTTACAAGAAAAATATAGTATTTTAGCTGTGAAAATTATGTAAAGTAAATCCTTAAGTGTTCATCATCATTAAAAAAAATGTTGTGCTGTTTAAATTGTTTAGTACACCAGGAGACAATCTATACTTTTCCAAATAATACACCAAGATCCTTTTCGAACCCATGAGCAATCATGCACACAGGACCAACGGTTTTACATCCTATCAGAAGCACAAGGCTACTGAAAGTAAAGTGTTACTCAGGACACAAGTAAGAACGATATTGGCAGGTCATGAACATAGGCTCTGCCTCCTTTACCTATCTTCCCTTCTTGCAGAAAATCGATGCTTTTACTTGTGTTATTTAGAAGGTTCTTTGAATCATATTTCTCTTGAGTAATACTCAACATACTGCAATACAGAATGTTCAACTTGTGATTTTCTTACCTATCGTTAGAATGTTGACAGAGATTTGGTTGGAACCGGCGGTATTGGTTGCAACACAGGTATAGGTACCTAGGTTCTCCTGGGTAGCACTGAACACCATGACACTACCATTAGACAGCAACTGCAGGTTATTTACTGAAAAGACATAAATGATGTCAAACTTTAGTTTAGTCTTACTTTAAGTAGGGTCCTTTTGGTAATAAATTGGGCAGTACACCCAAGCTCTTTACCCAATTTACCCACATGAGCCAGATATTCCATAAGAGCAGATAGTTTCTACAACAGTTGTTGAGTACTGAAATTCTTTTAGTAGCATTGTTAATATATTTTGACACCTTACCTAAAACCAGCTGTTGCCCATCCTTCCTCCAAGATACTTGTGGACGTGGATCACCGTATGCTACACAATCCAATCGGAAGGACTGCCCCAGTGTCACAGTTTGTTCTTGAGGCCGTACGTTGAACAGAGGAGGAACTGAAAATTGATACAGAATTAAGTTACTATATATGTTGGGTAAGCTGGTGAGCAGTACAGTATAGGTAGAGCAACTGACTGGGTTAAAGCAGGCACACATTGCGCTGATGGTCATGTTTAAAGCGATTTTATGAAGAACATAATGTGATGAATGATGCGTGCAAGATGGATTGTTTTTAAACATTATCCGCTTAGATTGGCACTGACACTCAGTGGACAGTATCGCATCGTCAAACACTCTCACAGACCAGTGTGTGTCTGGCTTTAGATTGAGTCAAGCAATATACTTACCAAGAACAGTAAGAAATAGCTGTGCCTGATCGCTGCCCAGTAGATTTGAAACCTCACATGTGTATATGCCCTCCTGGCTATTTTGAATGTTGTTGATTATAAGGTCCCCATTGCTGTAGATTTCATAGCTGTGGTCACTAGTTAGCTGCTGTCCTAAGTAAAACCAGGAATAGGTGATCTGTGAAAATGGATAAAATTTAAAAACTGATTAATCATATAGTGTGGAGATAGTAATTTATGTTATAGATAACCTAGTGTTACATTGAAGAACTGATGGTTATCATTGTTAAGTTTTACACACCTGAGGGTTTCCTTCAGCCCTGCACTGCAACATTGCTCTATCACCCTCCACAACTTGTTGATTTGAGGGCCAGACAGAAAATACAGGTGAGCCTACAAAACCAATAATATTGTTACAGAAAACAATATGGAATATGGGTGTGAAGATGAAATTAATAGTCAATATCATTAGAATCTTTATCAATTACTGGTACTGGTAATGTTTACCTACCTATACTCAAGTAATTTTTATCAAAACTACGTTTGAGAAACAAACCTTACAAAAACTGTTGTCACAAACTCAATAATGGCTTACTTACTTTGTACTGTTATTATGGCTGAAGATGTATCAGTCCCAACTGTATTGGATGCACTGCAGGTGTAGGTTCCTGATTGGTCACTTGTTATGGCCATAATGACCAACGATCCATTGCCCAGAGCCTGAACACTTTGACTGTCAGTACTTGGGGCTTGGATAGGTGCTCTATCAGGGCCAGGTGTGGTCCATGTGATCAGTGGGACTGGTTTACCACTTGCTTGACAGTGTAGCATGACAGGCATCCCTGTCACTACAGTAGCGTCTACTGGTGCTGTTGTTATTACAGGAATAACTATTTAACAGTCAAGACAAAAGGTTTTTTAAAATAAAATACAGTATGTCTTGTTTTTCTGTATCAAAACATTAATGGCTGTCTATAAAAAGTACGAAATTTGTACGGTTACAGATGCTGTAATTTAAAATCTTCTTTTCAACTAAAATATTGTTATCTCTCTCCTTTATTACATACTCTTTCCCTCCATGCAAGACCTCATTCTTATTTCATTTCAGTTTTACGCTTTACATACCTTGTATCATCAGATGAGCTTGTGCTGTTCGGCTAGTGTACCCATTATTTGCTGTACACACATACACGCCCTCATCTTCTTCTACAAGATTTAGGAGCCGGAGCCAGCCTTGCCTGGGCTCTTCCACTCTCTCGGTAGGGATGATCCCACTAGCCTTAAAAAAATAATATTTACAAAGATGTGCAATTGCAATTTAATCATGTTTAAATAATCATTTCAGTTAATTGAATTAAATTTGAGGTTTTGTGGTGAACAAAGATGGATGATATACTGTAAGAAAACATACCTTGCTCCAAACTATAGAGGGTGCTGGACTCCCAGTAGCCTCACATTTGAATGTCACCCTGCTGCCAACTTGGGCAGATTGGTCAGTTGGACGGAGAGTTAGAGTAACCCCTTGTAGGGGTGGGTCAACTACAAGAAGTGCAGAGGCACTGTTTTCCCCCCAACTGTTGACAGCCAAACATGTGTAGTATCCAGCATCTGATTGCTGGACGTCAACAATAGTCAGAGTGGAAGATGTGACAGAAAAGCGTCCGGAAGACTGAAAAAAATAAACCAATATTTTCAGTGGTAATTTTTGAAATTAATGTTCAATATTTGTTATACAACAATTATACAATAACATACAATACAAAATAAAAACTCTTACCTGGATTTGTTGACCGCTACTCATAAGCCACCGGATGGTAGCTGCTGGACTTCCAATGGTGATACAGGAAAATGTTACACTTTGACCTTCAGGAGCACTCTGTCCATCAGGTGGCCGGAGAAATCCTGGTCGTCCTATAGGTATGAAAATGTATACATGAATAAGAATAACTAATTGCCTTATACAGTCTCTTTTCTCAATTCTCATTGGCCTAGTGTTTCCTAACTTCAATTCATTCTTTAGTATTAGCCACTCTATCCAATCACAACATACCAATTAAGATTAAAGTAGCTGATTCACTGATCCGCTGTAACCGTAGCAACATGTTTTCTGCAGTACAAGTGTATGATCCCATATCCTCATGATTAGGTGACAGCACTGTCAGACTACTTGATGTCACCATAGAGATGGTTGTCGTGGTGATAGATGCTTGCACAAGATCTGCGCCATTAAGTTGCCACGATATTGTTGCCGGTGGATTACTGTTAATACTACACTGGAAAGTTGCCGTTTGGCCTGTGTTTGTTGTCACTGATGCTGGCTGAGTAATAAATGATTCGGCTAGAACTGTGGCAGGAAAAAATGTCAAAGGTCTCAGATTTTTAAATAGCAAAATGTAATATAACTTACAAAAAGATCATTGGCAATTGTCAAAACAAAATCCTAAAGTTCATTTAGCACTTACACGCCAAACTAAGAGACGCCCTTTGACTTGTAATAGTCTCTGCACCAGATGTTGCTTGACATTTGTAGTTCCCAACAGCATCTTGGATCACACTTACAATATGTAGCGTTCCATTGGGCAATATTTCAAAGATACTGCTTCTGATAGGCTGGTCATTGAACAGCCAGCTTACAACAGGCTCAGGGTTTCCCCTGACTATGCAGTGCCACCATACAGGCTGCAGCTCAATGGCAACAAGATGAGATGGTTCCTGCACGAACTGTAGAGGGAGGGCTTTTGTAATGATAGTCAAGACTAGTGAAAGTTGGATAAAGTATCTGTTGTCAAGGGTGACCATCCTAGTTACTCAGTTCTTGCTCCATTACTAAACAGGCTACTTCATTTTGATAGTAACCTGAAAGAAAAAATTTAATTAATTTAGGAGGTAATAAAAAAGTCAAGTGGAAAGGCAAAAATATAAACAATACTGTGCAATATGTCAATAAAATAACATAGAAAAATACCAAAAAATGATAGAAAGACTTCTATTACCAGTCACTGGCGTTGTGTTCCTATTATCATTTTAATCATTATCCAGATGAAAATCAATGTAATTAATTTCAAAATAAGCGGGTTGCAATTTCTTTATACTCTCCCTTTGCTTGATAGCATCATTTTCCTGTGTGTCCAAATGTTGTGTTTGGTTCCTTCAGAGCACCTAAGTTTAAACTTTTTCTTTGTTATATAATAATATACGCAAATTCATAATTTTTTATCTTTTTTCAGAATGAAAAAAAAAAATATTTCAATTGATTTTTTATGATGTTTTTTCACTTTCAAGGGACAAGACATTGTATGAAATTATACACAGTACAGTATGCCACAGGCCTACATCCTTAATGAAAATGCTTGATGTGTGGAGGAACCATCATAAAAAGTAATAATCATATTCTTCCCAGAGTGCATAGCTTGGCTCTTTTTTGGGTAATGTGTCAACATACGATACATTAAGTCTTATATTCTTTTACAATTTACATTCTTAAGCGGAGATCCCAAGTCTCCTGAAAATTTTAACAATTTAGGGGTTTCAAAGGCTTATTTAATCGATTTTAGAGTCTACTAATATGTAGAAAATACATATTTTTTTTTTATCCCCAACAAATTGTGCTTTTTCTCCTCCAGCCCCCCCCCCCGGCACCACATCTGGTTTGTCCCGATTTTTTAGGCTGTCTCCTGCCCTCCCGATTTTCATTAATTTCTCCCGATTTTTAAAAATACAGTATCCCGAAAATTTCACGATACCAGTTTGACTCTTTCTTTTTGTGTAAACACTTTCATGTTGCGCAGAGCGTTGTAAGGCATCACAGCGCATCGCTACAGCACAGAGCGTTGTAAGGCATCACAGCGCGTCGCTACAGGAGGTGAGTGCTTCACGAAAAAATCTCCCTATTTTTTGGTTTTCCAACTTGGGATCTCTAGACTCTGCTTATTGTATTATTTAACAGCATAGGAATGGATTAGGGCTCTAAATTAAGACCTAGGCCTGAGTAGACTACTAAGTAGGATATAATAGGCCTAGGCTATTACATAAATAAATCAATTACAGAAACTAAAGCAATCTCTGGATTTATGTTCGCACTTGTCACCCGAAACCTTACAGAAACGGACTTGCTAGGCCAGACCTAGCCTACACGTACTACTACTACTAGGCCTAGCCTACTATAAATCCGCAAGGGGGTATGGCAGGCATTGAAGCCTAGCTGGCTAGGCTTGGGCCTACGCCTAGCTGGGAAAGCGAAGTCCAAGACCTAGCTTATTATGATAGAGGCTCTCTCTCTGCTCTGTTTCAGATTCAGACAGCCCAGACACTCACTCAGCGTGCCTGGCAACAGGTGAATAATCCACAAGACAACACATTACTAGAAGTTAAATAATAACATTTAATACTTAGACATACACAAATCATTAAATTCCTTTGGAATTCGGAATTACCTTAGTACTTCCTTCTCTGATACATTGGAAAAGATCGATTACAAACCCAAACAACAATTTGCAATTTGAGAACGCTGAATTTGATATTGGTGTCAAAGGTTACCAGCAGTAGCTTCAAGTGCCAGGTAAGAAAGGTACCGCAGCGGTCTGCAGCGATTATTCATCACGTAATGGCCGGTATTTACCACATGCTTCATTGCTTTTTGGAAATTCCCCTGTTCGTTTTAATTCTCCGCAACATTTTTTTTGCTTCATAATTATTAACAGCACTAAATCCCTGCCTTTTTGACACAATGGACGATGATAGAGCTGATAGAACACTTTATGTGGGAAATCTTGAAGCTGGTGTGACTGAGGATATCCTTTATGAACTGTTTTTACAGGTAAAACAACAGAGTAACAAGGTTAGCTAGGTAGGCCGGTTCGCAGGTTCACACAGAGGAAGTTAGGTAGGCTTGGTACTGGTAGGGTGCCACATCTGAGGGAATTCGTTAGCCATCATAGGGCCAGGCCTAGGCTCTATTTTCCTTCTATAGCCTAGGCCTGACCTTGGTTTGTACTTAGACTGAAGCATACGTATGTTAGATCAAAGCACTATCACCTTTTGGCCAGCTAGCTAGGCCTACTAGATAGAAAGGCTCCCAATATTATTTTATATTTTACAAATAATTGTCAGTCAAGACCAACACCAATTCTTTGTTTTATTTTTCAGGCTGGTCCTTTAGTTGCTGTGAAGCGTATGGCTGACAAGCCATTTGCCTTTGTCGAATTTAAACACGATGTCTCCGTTCCCTACGCTAAAAATATCATGGAGGGAACAAGACTTTTTCAAAAAGAATTACGTATTCAGTTTCGCTCAGGAAGTATTCACCAACAGCAATCGCAATCAAAATCTGGATGGCAACCTCAGCCTTCACATGGAAATTATGTACGCTCAAATTCATATCCAAATTTCCAAGGGCAGTCACCGCAGTATCAACAAAATATGAATTTACCACCTCAAGGATGGTTTTCAGAACATCAAATGCAAGGAAATTTTCAACTTCATGGTAACCATCCTAACCAATTTTTTGAAAATAATCATCAGCAATTTATGGACAAACAATTTCATAACCGACATCATCAGAACTATGACAATGATTTCAGGAGAAGTAGTCCCCAGTACCATCGAACAGAAAGCTTCAATGAATATGAATCTAATCCCAGAGATCACCAAAGTTACAATGGTGGTGGAAACAGGTCAAGCCAACATGGAAGAAGCCAAAATGAACAACGAAATTCTAGTGGAAAGAAACGCAGTCATCACATGCGACATGGAAATGAACCACAGGAGATAATTGAGAAACAGATGCGCCGAAATGCCGAATCGGGAATGAGGCATTCATCTGGCAGTAGAGGTCATCACCAACATCATGAATCACGGTCTGGTGGACACCACTATAGGAGGTAGTCAAAGAATTTATGATCTAGAAATGAACTAATTTATCTGATGCAAGATGAACTTAACTATATATTTTAATAACACCGGTCTTCCATTTACTTGGGTAATAGCCAATGTATTTAACTTACTGTAAACAATCACATGTACTATATATGAGTTGAATGGCTTAAAGTACCGGTCTTTCATTTACTTGGGTAATAGGACATTGAGTTGAATGGCTTGAAATACGATTCAACAGTTTTTAATGATCCTGGGCTTTTTATGTAATTAACTTTTTAATTACAATTAATTTTATCAAATACAACACTGCTTTGATGTATATTGGTTTTAAAATTTTATGCAATAATGTATTATTTTAAAGTTTGTGTTACTCTTTGTATCTTATTTTAAACAATTGTACAGCAGTTTACCAGTTTCATTTACAAATGACTTTTTCTTAATATTAATTCATATTTAATTCAATGAAATGAACATAAATATTAAAATTTACCAAATATAATACCTGTTATTTATTTTAGGTTACTGTACAGTTTTCAGTCTAGCTACAGTATGAGGTGTTTAAATGGTTTATTTTAATTCATTGTATCAATTCTGTCATTGTTTTAAAAGTTTCACATTTTTTCTAAATTCTGTTGCTGAGCACCAGTTTGACTTTTACCTGTAATTTATACATGTTTATGAAATGCCTTTTGCTTCTTTAGGTCACATGACATTTTTCAATGTTTTTCAGAGTCTGCCTCTCTTTTCTGCTACCTATAGTCCTACAATTACACTGTTAGTGTTACACTCTTCTATTCTTCATGCCAAAACCACTACTAGTTTGCTTAAAATTTGTTGAGACAGTCCTGTTTTATGCTGGTGTTAACTATGTATTTCAGTTATTATTTAAACGTAACTTTTAATTTAGTAAATTGATGTCTATTATTTAATTGTTTTAATCAGCAACTACCTCGGTTTGATTATACAAAAAGGTGATGACAATCTATTATCATATTCCTAAAACCTATTTTTGGAATAATATATATCTGTCCATAACATAATTTTAAGATTAGTGTGACATGTACTGTATATGGTTTGCCCCTATATACAGTAGGTGGTTTACAGTAGGTGTAATGTGACATAACCATGCCCATATATGGATATAAAACATGACATACCTATGTGTATATATTTGCAAATCACACATATTTGTTGCATAAAACTAAAAAATAATGCGGGCAGAGATTTAGTATTTTGTGTATATCTTTTGAAAATAAACCAAGGCTGAGTATCATATAAAGATCTGTTGTTTAATTTTTGGCACTGTAAACTGATAAAGTACCTTAAATAAAATTATTTATTTTTAAGAAGTCACATGGGCTTAATCTCAAGAAGAAACCCATCTCGAAAAGAAGCTCATGGGCTTCTAATCCAGATAATATGATCTACTTTTGAGATAGTACTAACATTCAGACAAATGTTATGTTAGATGATTATGATAGCGTGTCAGTATCAATTGAATTTTATTGTACTAGCATTGTTAAAAAAAAAAATTAAACAGAATTTTGAATTCCATAATTGAAGAAATATTGTAGCCCAAGTAGCAATTCCAAAACTTACAGCATTCATTTTGAAAAGAAACTCCCATTTTTGGTTTCCAAAGGTAATTTAAAAAAAAAAAGCCCATCTCGACAAGAGGCCCATCTTGAAAAGAAACCCATCTAAGGATTCCAAGAAAACAAGCCCATGACTTCTATTTAAGGTTTGACGGTATTAATTAATAGGGCCTACTCACTCACTTTATAATACAATTGAATTGAAACCCCCCCCCCCCCAAAAAAAAGAAAACGAAACAATATTACTATGAAAGTTGGAAGCCATTTAAACATCACATCTTAAATGCACATTCATAAATTTAGATAAAAAATCGACAATATGCAGAAATGCAGTAAAACAAATGTAAACATAAATCGCTAATTATTCTACCAATGGTCAGAGTATAGACATTTTTTTGTTTAGCGCCCCCACGTGGCAAAGCTGTTCCCGGAGTACGTGTATCCAACTTTTAGAGGCCAAGACGCAGAGGCCATTGGGTGAGAGGAGAAAACTCCGGCAGCTTCGGCGTATTTAACGTCTCTAGGACGTATTTTAATGCCTTTTTTACACATCACAAATCACAAGTTTATGTATTGTGATTTAACCCAAAAAAAGCATACTTAACTAAGATATCACTAATAAACATAGTACAGTACATTAAATACCAAAAACGAGCAAATTACAATCGATAAATATTTATGGACAAAAACATATGTATCATACTCATGTGTCGCTTTTGCTCTTGGCCTTGATTTCTTGTTTCACGTGGTTGTTGGTCTTAATTTTTTTAAATAAAAAGTTTAATGTTTTTATCGATATATATATATATACTGTCTCTTATACACATCTAGATGTGTATAAGAGACAGCATATACAGTGTCTAATAAGGACATGATGGAACATCCTCCTATGAAAAATCATTCTCGTTCGAATCTCGTCGGAGGCATTTTATTACACAATGGTTTTTCAAATCCCCGACGAGGGGGCCGATGCCCCGACGAGGGGTCAGATTTCCAGGACGAAAGCATAGTGGGGGTGGTCGAGCTTCAAATAAAAGGCTTCGAAAGTGGTCCTGGGGGAAAAGCCCCGAAAATTTTGACAATTAAGGGGTTTATAAAGGCTTATTTATTCGATTTTATAGTCTACCAATAGGCCTATATGTAGAAAATACATATAATTTGTTTTCTCCCCGACGTATTGTGCTTTTTCTCCCCGACGGGGGGGGGGGAAGCTTTCCCCGACCGGGGGGCCTCGCTGGAGCCACCGCTGGAGCCACCCCTGGCTTTAGCAAGTAAGAGCATAGCCGTTACGCCACTCAGAACATCACAATTGTCCGTTAATTTGATGTCATTTTTACACTATTTAAAATTATTGACATCAAATTGCAAGTATTCGTATCAATTCTGTTGTTAGTACATTACATACACAAGTCAGATTATTTTTTTAAAATAAATTTTTTCATATAGGGCCTAGTTTCTGAATACTCTCACGAGTTTTATATACCTATCTACATTTCGCTAATGGAGCTACTTTTTGTTTTTTCCTAAAAAAGCAAAATAAATGAAATATAATACAATATCTGGCATCGTTCCATTTTTGGCGTAGTTACGTGTGAATAAATAGCATAATATATCGTATAAGCATACTGACATAAGAGCTCCAATATCTATCAGATCATCAATTGAATTCAAGTAATAAAACGGTTCGGAATGGGCTGTCGGTACGAAATTTAGAAATGTAATTTTCGCTTTTCATTGAAGATTTCTACTAAGGATATTTTGTTCAGTTTACCTCATTTAGGTACTGTCTTATTTGTGGGTGAAGTTTCTCTCTGTTTACGAAATTTAGGCCCATGATGTGTATTACTTTTATTGGCCACCAGCCCTTTTTCACAAAACTTTTATCAGCTATAAAATTTGTGACAATATTGTTTGTTCCTGATAGAAATTAATAAAGTTGAAATTAATTTTCGAAACTGAGATACGTTATACGCAATAGTCAAAAAATAATTTTTAGTTTGAAATAGCGTCCTCTATTATTAAAAATGCCATAGACAGCTGATCTGATTGGATTATGTCGTCGAGACTCTTTCTCAGACATTCACTGATTGGCTAAGTGTTTCGGGATGTTTATCAATGAGTCAATTGGAGAGCGGTTAAGTAGTCTGCTGAAACAGTAATGAGTTTTTGCGGTTTGGTGGTTTTCCATTCTGGATCTGTCAAGTTTTCCCGAAGTTTAAAGTGACAAACACGGTGCCTGTTTAGAATGTGCTGCATATGCCAGCTCTTTCGCCTTTAAATAGTTGAGAAGTACTCAATGGCGTAGGTTGATGTTTCCGTGCTTACTAGCACTTATGGAGGGAGCAAGAAGTACAACTTTGCTATTGCGGTGGATTTGTGTGCTGCTTATATGTGGAGTAACTGCTCAGGATGTTAGTACAACGACAGGTAAGCCTGAACCGTCCAACTCCATGCTTAACTAACCAATAAACCCACCCATCTTCTGCTTAAAATTCGCGGGATCGACATAAGCGACTTACGAATCATAGATACTGTAACTAAGTTACTCATATCTCTGTCTCTGTGTAATATTAAAATTTGATAATGTCGGAGTCTGTAATGTAGAATTATTTTTTTTTAAGTTCACCGTCTGTGGAGTGGATAGGCCCCGATATGCATAGGATAGGCTTTGATTTCAATTAAGGAAAGCGCCCAAGTGATGATAACTCTTCTGGGTGTTTGAAATCAGTGTTCAAGATGAGAATCATATCATCATATAGATAATTATAATAATAATATAATAATAATTTATTTATGATAATTATTCTACCAGGTTTGTTGTTAATCAGTTCTTATATAAGCTGTGACTTGATTGTGAGGAGAGGTGGCTGGTAATTATTTCTGATGGGGGGTTGGGGTGAAAACTTCTGGGTCATGCCATTCCCGACCACTTTCATATGTCACTGACTAACCATACAAAGTTAATGATTCAACATAACCAACTGAGCTCGATTTTCTCCCTCCCACCCCCACCCACCTCAACCTCGCACCTGAGAAACCAGGGTTACAGATTGCTCTATATTGAAAAGCCTGCTGGTATCATTCTAGCTTGCACTGTTGAGGGGCTGTGAAGTGGTTTGTTCTCTCATTTGAATAGGAAACTTAATAACTGAGGTAGACTATGTATTTGGTACCAGTAGCCAAATCCATTTTGAAAACAATTTAATTACCTTCTTGGTATTGGCTTAATAAACAAACAAATTGTACAATTTAATCCAACCAAATCAGTTTACATTATTTGTAACTCAAGATAGGATGAATACATCTACAGTTTACTTCATCCTTCTCAGTACATTTGGAGGTCTTGAATCAAACCATGGCTGAACTTGCTCTTTGTTCATTCACAAATTCAAATATGAAATATTGTTGCCGTTATTTCAACAGTTTTATTTTTAAATGTGCTGTAATCATTTGTATTAAATCTGTTTAAAATCTGGGTTTTTAGGTAACAGTGCATGAAATCTGTTATGTTGATAGTTGTATTTAACAATAATTGCCATATGCTAAATTACCTTTGCTTATCAAGTAATCAAGTACTGTACTGTACAACATGTTATTCAAGAGTATAATAATTATGTGGATAATATTTGACTGAAGCCCAACAAAAGAATTAACATGGTGTAAAAGTAATTTTCACAATTTTATAGTTGGTTTGAAATGGTAGTGAATAAAAACCACTTAAAATATTACTGATGGTAGTCATTTTGTTAACTGATCCATGTGTATATTTAAATAGAATTATTGCATTTCATTTTGTTAGGTAAATTGAAAGGTCTTTTAAATATATTTTATATAGTTAAATAAAATGGTTTAAATTGGAGTTAAAGAATAATACAATATTTATTATTTTATTAGGCCTATATTATTGTTAAATTATCTCAGTATGTTGCACACTGAAAGCTTATATTGTTTGGCTTTCCCTTTAAATACATCTTCATTGGTATTCAGATTGGATTTTATTAAGTATGTTAGCTTTAAAGAAATTATACATCAAGGGTTATTTTTAAAATAATATATTGATGTTTGAATCAAACCACTGTTATGAGTATGTTCAATCAATATTTAATTCATGAGATTTTCCATATTCATTTTGAGTATACACTGTTAATATTCTATTAGCATAGCCATTACCAAACCATCTGAAAACACAAACGTCACCAGAGATGATAAATTCCGAAGGGACTCACCAGAGTCCTAAAATTAAGAATCCAAAAAATAATCCCATTATAAACCATTAAATAGGTCATTGAGTTGTGTAAACTGGAGTTGAGTGACCACATTGTATTTGGCCCCTGAGACCTCAAGATTTTACTCCAGAATGCTTCAAATTACAAGTGGATTCTCTATTCTTAAGTTTAAATTCATGAACCTGTATTTTAAAATACAGTCACCTTTTTATATGGGTTCCTAATTCCAGTCCTCTGTATTCATGCAGTATTAAAAAAAATTTCATCAACAGGTTATCTTTATAGCATACACATTCATTTGAATAATAAACCAAAAACTCCTTGAGTGTGTCAGTTTTCACTTGCACTAAATTGTTATTGTCTGGTATAATTTTTGTAATTAAATACTAATAATGTTATGGACCTAGTTTCCAAAATATAGAGAGATTTATTCAAAAATCCAAAGAGGTAGGATTTATAATGAAAGGTGTCAAATATCTTGTAAGTTGCCCCAAGCTGTTGCATATAATTTTTTGCTTGAGAAAGTTTTGAGACTCGTCTGAAAGAAATGTGATTAAAGTATTCAACCCAAAAATGTAGTGATTGTTATCTCATCCGGTGACAATACACTTTGAATTTACTGTGTTTATATCTAAGAAAGTTAAATTAATGTTCCACATATTCTAGATCTATGTTTACAGTACTTTTTAAAACTTTCAGAAAACAGATATAGAATTGTTAATATTGACAAAGCTTTCGTTAAGTTTTAAAGTTTTTTTTCAGCGAAATAACAATTTTTCTATAAAACTGCATAATAAACAGTGATATTACAAGAAGATAATCAGTTGTTCCAGACAACAAATATTGATTATTGATCGACTTGTGAGATGATGATTTGAATGATTAATTTAATTTGATCATTGTGGATTATTTGTGACATCAGTTGATATGTATAGTTCTGGATTGTTTTGAACACCTGGGTATAAAATATCACTTAAAAAAAGTACAGTTACTGTACCATTCTCAATCACATTGCATCGTTCAAAACAAAAATTGTATGATATTTACCAAGCTGCTTCTGTTTGAACAAATTGAATGATCAATTTTTGGTAACTATGTTTCCTTTGTCATCTACCAATTATCAAATAGCATATTCCTCCAGATATTTGGTTAACCATTTCAAATAGTATACCGTTAGATGGAGATGAGGAACTGTGCACTTAAAGGCTTTATAATAGTTGTTTTGTAGGTCATACGATATTGATTAATACTGGTCTTTGTTTATTAGATTGACAATGAAATACTTGTTAGCAATATGTACTCAGTATATTATTCATTATACGATAGGCTTACACACTGTTTAGTTGATGTTTAATGGCTTTTTGGTACATCTGCCTAACTAACATCCTAACCTTTTTTTTACATCAAAATGAGGGCTAGGGTTTTGTTTCATCATGTTACACAAAGAGTATTTTGAATTTCAATTTTGTTGACAAGAAGATTTTAGCTGCCTTCATTGATTCTTTTGTTAAAGCTTATTGATCAGTTGTAGTAGGGTATGCCTGGGGAAAAGGGGTAGGCCTGTACCTGTAGAATAAAGGGTCAGAAGAATTTTATTTACTTTTAACAGTTCTGGTTGTTTGAAAGCTGAAGTCTCAACAATGACTTCACCAGGATGTACTTGTCAATTTAACAATGAAGTACGTCCCAATGAGGGTGTTACTTTGCAAAAATCATAAAACATCATGATTGATTTTAAAATATAATAAAACTTTTTTTAAAACTTTTTTAAATGAAAGATAAATAAAAAACTTTAAATAATATTTATTACAGCTTAATATTTTTTTCTAAATGTTATTGTAAAACATTGTTTTTAACTCTGAATTATTGAAGGTTATATCGCAGCAACAAAAGCTTTAGTCGTCTGCTAATGAGGCAGAAAAAAGTATAATACCTTCTGACTACCACCATTGAATGATACCAAGTATTGGCTAACCTGTACAACACAGACCAATCTCTCATGGCTACAATCCCACTTATCCTCTGAAATATTCAATTGTTTTTGAGAATGAATGAACTTAGGTGTTGGGTGTGTGAAACTGTTCGATATATGGTTATATTGAGGCCATCAATGAAAGAACTCATCCATTACTTTTGTGCTATCAATACAAGATTGATTTTATTGAAGAAGATCTACTGACATTGAAATTCTTGAGTTAGTACAACCTCAAGTTCAAACATGTTTACAAAGTTGGTACTAAGATTAGATGACCTGCACCAGACTATTAAGACATTGGGCCAGTTTCGACTGGGAAGAAAAAATTGATTAAAAATCACTTTTTCAAAAAAATCGCTTAGGAAACAATTCCCTTTAAATTTTTTATTTATTTCACAATTACCTTTTAGCAGAACAAATTCAAAAGGCACATTTTGTCGTCTGCTTACTAGCCAATGATTTTGTCGTCTGCTCACTGCCACTAATTTGTTTTGCTTAAGTTCAAAATGAGTATCAACATTTTGGTGTGTAGATATTGATTCCATTCAGGTGCTAATTCAGCTTTGCTAATCCTATTACAAATAAAACCATTTTCACAAATTGTTAAATTCATAATTTAATTAATCATTTTGTTTATGCATGGATTTGAGGTATTATTCTCAAATGGAGGTTGGCACCTTTAGATTTTGTTTATGGTCATGTGAGGTATCATCAAGTATAAACAGATTGGCTCATTTGCTTGAATCTCTAAACCCTCAACAACCAAATACTGTAATACAATGTTATATATAAATATACTGTTATAGTAAGTTTTTTTAAAACTACCTTGAGAAAAAACTTGTCCTAATTAAAAAATCAATTGTCTGTCCACACTATTAGATTTCCTTTGACAATACTTGTGATTTGTCTAATACTGTATATGGACAGGTTATCATGCCCATATATGGGCATATCATACCCATATGTGGGCATATCACAGGTATTGGTCACATAAAACCTATAGTGTAGAGCTTTTGACATTGTTGAAAATGTGAGTTTCACAATCGTGCTTGCAGACAATATGGGATGATGATAATTATGATCGCATGGAAATTATCCTCTAACTTTTATTATTTTAATTATTTTTATTTTTTTAAAAATAATAATAATATTAATAATAATAAATACTTTATTTCATGGTAAAACTTATTCACTCAAGGGTGTTTTTCATCAAAGCCGTGCAAGGC